ACTAAACCAGGACTAAAACCAGGATTAAACAATATGACACCTAACAGTAGGGTGGACATAATTTAAGGCAGCAGTGATCTCATTTAAAAAATCATTTCTCTGTCAATAATATTAATAAGGTTAAGGAAAGACTGGAGTTTTATTGTCTTTAAGCAGACAAAACATCTTATGTTAAGATATCTTAGTCTTTGCTTCTCTACAACAGACAAATGTCTGTTCACGGAGACTTGGGCTCAACAGCCAGTTTGAAGAGATCAAACATGAATTTTCAGGATGTGGTTGCTACATTCATGTAGATTTAAAAAGCATGATAATATCAAGTAATCCAAAGTATTCAGATTACGTTACTCACTTTAAGTAACTTAATGGATTATGTTACAAACTACATTTTGGGATATGTAATGTGTAATCTGTAGGGGAATACGTTTTAAAAGTAACCTTCACATCACTGGAAACAAAACACAATTCCAGGTATGTTTGTGATGAGAAAACAACATTATAACGTAGATCAGAACATAGCGTAATACGGGTCCCTTAACTGGTTGAAGTGTGAGCTAAACCTGGTGCATGTGAGTCTGAGGAGGCCGGGAGAGATTGGCACCAAACACTGTGTCATTGTTATTGAGTTGTTTTGGGCGCGACGCCTGTGACTCACTGAATAAATCCACAGAGACGTAATCGAAGAACCAGAGAAAATGAGATGGAAAATGACGTTTGGGACATTTTGTGGTCGATTATAAACTAATTAAAGTCAGATGTGTTCGTTTTAATGAGGTAAAAAGATAATGTATTACCTACCGCAGAGTTTAGAGAGGCCAAGGGCTGGCTTTAGTTCCATTCATAACACCTGCACAAATTGGGTTAGACAGTTAAATTGGGCTTTTTTTTTTTTTTTTGCAATAAATATTTTTCATAATAAAATACAGTATACATTTGGATACATGGCTGTACCAAAACCAGGTCAGAATGAAGCCAGCACCAAGCAACTACTGATGTATTGCAGTAACATCACACTGGGGGTGTTTTGCATGTGTCTGTACGGTGGAATATTCAGCAGTTACCATGGTGACACAATGCACACATTAGCGAACACTGCCAAAAAAGTGTTATGAGTCTGAAAACGTAAGAAATCCCACAAAAATGATTTAAACAACACATTTTCAGGAGTCTGTGATCAATCAGTGTGGTCGAGTGTTTGTCCACTGATCCGAAGGTTGGTGGTTCAAATCCCACTGTCAACATAAATATCATTGGTTGAGCGGTCGGATCCACTGACCCACAAGTTGGTGGTGTGTTTCCAGCTCCTATAGATGGATGCTGTTGTTGTGTCCTTGGGCAAGACACTTAACCCACCTTGCCCCCGGTATCTGCATACACTGGAGTGTTTATGTGTATGTGGATGGGTGAATGGTTCTTTGTAAAGTGCTTTGAGTACATTGAAGGAGGAAAAGCGCTGTATAAAAATGTGACCAATAAGATCATTCATGGTCCAGTTTAGGTGCTTCATTTTCAACACAAAAGGTGAAAAACAGTTTTGGTTGATGTTAACCCTCTCAGGCTCAAATTAATTTTTAATATCAGGAAAAATCTGATATTTGGGGAAAATTATCATATGGGGTAGTAATATACAATCCTGACTTTTTTATCCTTTGTAAACAAAAAAAGTATTTTGCACTTCTGGCAGGCCGTTTGCGTGAAGTCATTCTTGCACAGTGTGCATCGTCCACGTTTAACAGCATGGATGGGAGAAAAGGCTCCTGAGTAAAAAAAGCTAATAAACTACGGATGTGGAGTAAGTAGGTAATTGGAATTTAGCTGTTGCAAATCTGCAATGCCTGCCTGGAGAGGTTTTTTTAAAAAGTCCCTATTTGAGAGGGACTTTTTTAACAACACAAATCAACCTGTTGTAGTTTCAACAATGTCAGTTCTCTGTGGTCAGATTAAAGTCTAATCTGAGTAACAGAGCTTCAGACAAAGCAGTGCCTACATCTTCACACCTCCAGGGCACAAACCAGTACCAAACCTGAGACAAAACTTGGGCCAAACATTTCATTTCTATAATATACAAAGCCTATATACTAGTGTTGTAGTACTCGAAACTCGAGTACTTGGTCTCGAGACCGGCCTTGAGACTGCTTTTTTTATAGTCTTGGTCTCGCCTCGGACTCAAGCACATTTGGACTCCATCTTGGTTCGGTCTTGATGGCGCTTGTTCTTGTCTCGGACTTGAGGTCTGACAATGGACAAGTGCGATCATATTTCATTCTGGCCGGTAAATGTGCAGAGGCTGTTAAATATCACAGCAAAACCAGTAAGATAATGTAACTGTAAATGTTATGAACGTGAAAAAAACAACAACACTTGATTCTCTTTGAAGTTGTTTTCTGTAAATTGCCAGTGGAAGTGAAATTAAAGAAGGGGTTCTCAAACTGTGGGTGAGGGTCCAAAAAGGGGGCGCAGAGTGTTTCAGCACATGGCAGTTTGCTTGGCTTATTTTAAGCCTAAATGAACATTAACAAGATCAAATGATTGATTGACTGATTGATTTTATATAGGACCTTTCAAAATACCCAAAGTGCTTCACAGTTCATTATTCAGTCACTCCACACTCAGTGGTGGTAAGATACTATTGTAGCCACAGCTGCCCTGGGGCAGACTGAAGGAAGCGGAAATGGAGATAGATTTATAAAAACATTGATATAAATGAGCCAAAATAACTGTAAAATACAAATAAATGTAGAAAATGACAAAGATGGTCTTGATTTGGGCTCGATGGGCCATGATCTCAGTCTTATCTTGGTCTCGACTTTTAAAAGTCTTGGTCTGGTCTTGGTCTTGGGACCCTGTGGTTTCGGACTGAGCTTGGTCTCGTTTAGTACGTGTAATAAAGGACTTAAAGGTGCACTCAGTCACCATGGATGATATTGCATGGAATGTTCCACAATTGAAACTTTTAAAATGTTTTGGTAGTTATTGCTCCTATGAACATTTCGCCATAGATATACATGTAGAACACCTCCAGCCTGATGTCACTGCACAGTATCAATGAACACCAGAGCTTACAGCATTTTAATAAAACACTTTTAAAACAGCTTTACACAAGGTCACACTGTTGTATCTATTACCTCCTGGTCCGTGTGGGCGGGTCCCTCTTCTCCTGCAGTTCTCCACAGTCCTGAGACACATACCAGCCGAGCTCAGTCATGGTTTGACTGGTGTCGGACTGTTGAAATCTGTAAAAAGTGTTGCAGAAATCATAATCGTCTGTTTTTATTACCAGCTATTCTCACCCCAGCTCCAGTCCACATCTGTTAAAGTTTGTGAGAAGAAATGTAGCGTGACATTTTACACTTTACAGCAATCGCAAAGTTGAATCTACAGTGTTTTATGGTTTGAATGGCACGTGCTACCAGGAAAAATACATAAACACGAATAAAAATGTGTAGTTTTTATACAAAGTTTGGACTGTGACATGATGTTGATCTAGCGCAGTCCAATAGCGCCATCTGGTGGAGCAATTAAATTTCATTTACAATACAAAGAATGACACATTTTTTAATATACACTACCAAAAGTTTTAGAACACCACATTTTTGCAGTTATTTATTGCAATTCAAGTCGTGCAAGTCCAATGAACTGGTACAAAGATAAGTACTGAACAGACAGAGGTTAAAAAAAAAAGATAAAAGATAACAAAACAGAAGTCAAAGCTCTTCCAAAACTACCTCAGGAAAAAAGAACAAGATGGTAAACTTGAAAACATGGAGTGTCCAGCACAGTCTCCAGACTTAAACCCCATCGAGCTGGTTTGGGATGAACTGGACAGAAAAGTAAAAGCCAAACAACTTACAAGTACCACACATTTATGGGAACTTCTGCAACAGACTTGGGAAGAACTTTCTGAAGAACATTTGATTTCTATTGTAAAAAGAACAAGCCACAAGTGTATTCAGCTGTTATATCTGCCAAAGGTGGACACTTTCATGAACCAAAAGTTTAGAATAAATTTTGGTCTATAAACTGATTCCATGATTTCTTTTTCAACTCAAATTTCTTATTTGTTCTATGCTTTCATTTCAGAGTGAGGTGCCACAAACAGTAAAAAAAATGGAAAAAGTGTGGCGTTCTAAAACTATAATTTAAGTGCAAGTCTTACTGAATACAAAAGGCTAGAAGTGTATGCGTAAATGTGAGGATTGTATATATGTTACATGCAACATTTTGAGGATTTCCCCCATTCAGCAGAAAAGTTTGTCTCTATGGCGAGTGGCAACAATCCTAAATTTTCATTACGGAAACCTATGAATAGGTATCTGTACACTTTCAGTCTTTAGTTGCATTTTTTAAAACATTAATCTTCCAATTTTGCATTTTATTAATACAATTCATATTACATTTGCACTATGTAACTTTTCATCAATGCCCTCCACCTGTCCGTTTCCATAGAGAAGTTATTGTTTAGTAGTTTTAGTTCAGCTTTTCTGTGTCACATTTATTCAATTACAAATGGTTTTATTGCTTACAAATACATTGAAAAAAACATGTATTCTTATGTGAGTAGACTGGGGTCTCCTCTCCACAAATATGACCTGTAACTTTTCCTGGTGGGCTCATCTCCATGGAGACAGGGAAGTTAAATGCCAGACTATGAAAACTTTCAGGCAAAAAGGCGAAAACGTCCAACAAAAAAGTTACATAGTGGATCTTTAAGTATTCAGTCACTCCCCAAATTTCTGCCATCTTAATTCCTGAATTACTGATCTCAAAGTTTATGCACATGAAAAGTTCAAATATACAGTATATTTATTTTAAAAATGTGTTTGGGGAGTCTGACACTTTTATGGACAAATAATAATTTTTAAAAAGGCATGTTTCAGCTGCATTTTTAATCACACTGAGGGCAAATATTCAATGCAAAATAACTAATAAACTTATGATAAGGGAAATACATACACATTTCACATGCAGCACGTTTTGGTTTGTAAAAATACCTATGGCTGAAAAGTGATAAATGTCCTATAAAATCTTAACTAAATAATATGTCCGTTTCTTTACAGTGAGCATTCCAGTGCATGCCTGTAAACAGAGGGGCTGTAGGGGGCGCTAGTGCTTCAGGAGGATGGGTTGTTTCAGACACAGTTCGCTTGTGCCGGACTGGATGGGCATCTGGCTCTCCATGTAGAACTGGATCAGGTGGCCGATGCTGAGAAAGACTTTGTCCCGAGTGCGAACCTAAAATACACAAATAAAAGAAAAGATAGTAGGTACTTCAGGGTTCTGTATGACGCTAAAGTGAATCTTATGAGCTGTAATTGTTGTCAAAATGTTAAAATGTGTTTTGTTTTCATTCATTCACACCTTTATTATTAGTCTATCTACATCTGCAAAGCTCAAAACGTTCTGTTCCACCTTGTGATGTCATGAAGCATAAAAGTAGTTTTCAAGATAACAGTTACTTTTAGTTCAGTAGAGATTGACATTCCAGGCCTTAACTCATCCAAATAATTCTAGTGAAGGTGTCTGGAGTTTAAAATCACAGTGGAGCACTTCCTGTACTACCACATGACATCACAAGGTGGAACAGAGTGTTTTCAGTTTGAAAATACTTGCCTAAACATGGAGGATTTGTGTAGTAAATATGCATGAATGGAACAAAACACAACTCTAGATTTGTTTTGTGGAGGAAAACATGATGAAACCAGAGATCAGAGAAGAGCGTAATATGGACTCTTTAAAGCTACACGGTGGAACTTTTCTGGTGGAGGGTCTTCATCTACTCGCTTGTTATTGCTCTTCCTGGAATGTTCAGCAGTATGGCATTAAATGTATCTATTGTGCATTTATTCAATTAACTGGTGTTTTTATAGCAAAAAAAAAAACAACAACACCTTGAATTAATATTTTCACTGGAAAAAAACAATATCTAGGTAAGTTAAAAACACTTAAATTAAGAACATTTGACTTTATTTGAGTAGATTCATCTTGACAAGTAAAATGATCTACCAATGGAATAAGAGTGTTTTTCTTAATTCAAGCATTCAAGCAAACATTCGATTTTGTTTCTTATTTGAAGTGCAAAAAGTTGTTGTTTTTCTTATTTTAATTGTAGCATGATGTATTTTCATATTTTAACTACAAAAAGTCTTATTCCACTGGTAGATCATTTTACTTGTCAAGTGAAATTTACTCAAATCATGATAAAAATTTCTTAATTCAAGTCATCTTAACTTGACTAGATTTTGTTTTTTGCAGTGTTCTTTCTGTGAGCAGGGTCACCTCTTCATAGATCTGACCAGTAACTTGACCTGATGGTGTAATTCACTTGTCGCTACAGTGATAGATACATTTAATTCAAAAATTTTTAACATTCTAGCACTTTTGTGATATTCAAGGCGGACCAAAAAAGTTACATAGTGCACCTTTACTTTACAACACCATTACCACTGTCATTAAAGAAAGACCTATTCTGCTTGTGCCTGTTACGGTATATAGTTATAATTTATGACACCCATGCACATTTTAAAGGCATTTTAAAATGGGGATTGAAAATAAAAGTGATTAAATAAGTGATTAAACATTGCTAATGAATGCCTGAATCATTCCTAAAACAAATTTGAGAGGGTTAATTTAGAAGAGGAAACAACTAGCACATGGTTAGAAATGTCCATTTGTATAATAGGTCTGCTTTAATACATTCATACACTACACCACTAGAAGGTGCTGTTTCTGATTTCTTTCTGGCCTCACCTGTCCGTTGGGGTCGACCAGCAGCAGGTGTCGCACAGTGGCGCCCTCTCTCCCAGCTGAGGACGTACTGCCCCGACGCCGAGCTGCTCTCTCTCACCAGGAAGTCCCCGCTGGAGCTGAGGAGGGACTCGGCCTGCTCCCGGTCCAGTCTGAAACCAACAGCACCTGTCAAACACACCTGTCAACGGGGAGCGCTGTGCAGTAGGGAGTGGAGTAAGTACCTGCCGTGGAACCAGTCCTCATCCTGGATCCTGGAGTCTTTTATTTGGCAAACTGCGCCGGCCTCTGAACTCTCTGAAAGAACAAACAAACAGTTAAACATTAATCTCTTCTGGATGGTATTTGCTCATATTCCAGACAAAGATGGAACTAAACCTATCTGTTATATGTTAGATCTGCGGAGAGGCAAGCCTGCTCCCTGTAAAATGCATGTTTTGACCATTAAAAACACCTAAAACATTCCAAACAAAGCAATAGTGACATCTCAATAGAGTAGATAGAAAATAAAGCAAAAGTCTATCCAATAACCAAAAAATAAAGAATGTTAATGTTGTCTTCATTGGAATTATCGCTTAGACTTAGGGAACTGAACATAAAGTTTTCATTTTTTTAAGCTGTCAATTGCAAATTGTTTTCAAGATTCAAGGATTTAATGTCATTGTCACAAGTAACAACCAAATTGCATTAAGAGCGGGTAAACAGTATTGCGAACAGTATAAGTCCAATTCATAAGTGCAAATACTGCAATATTAACATATATACTACTGAGGTACTCAATGATGTTTCTGTCAATCTTGCATTGATTTAATTAAGTGTGTTTCACTGCATTGAAAATCATGCACAGATCTGTAACTTGGCTTGTTCATAAATAGTGTCACTGTTACTGATACTACTGTAATATTCAAACTTGTTCAACGTCATATAGTGTAAAGACCAGGGTTGGGCAATTATTTTTCGCATGATATTGTGGAGGACCAGACCAAAATGCTTAACTCAGTTCTGCACAATATTAATTATATTTCTATATAAAAAACAGTAAATAGCATTGTTTTGACAAGCTGGTCAGACTGGTAAGAGTTTATGTTATGACTAAGCAATGAAAAAGTGAGGTTAACTTAATGACTGTAATTAAAAAACACCTCTAAAATAAAAGCAATGCAGCTTTAGTCCATGCATGTGGTTAAATTATAAAATATGTTTATTTTGTAATTCCAAATGATCGTAAACAGACTGGTCAAAATCTAACAAAGAGCTGTATCTGGCGCGGGAGTTGTACAATGCCCAGGTCTGGTGAAGAGGGAACATTCACCTTCAGGGGGCGCTGTTTGTTCAGAGGTGGAGCAGTTTTCGTACAAGGTCCCAGGTGGAGATGGACAAACCTATGGCAAAAGTTAAGAAACACATGTTTGCTTAATGTAACATAAAATCACATTCTTCTGATTTTAGATAACAGATCTGTTGTTTCCATGTTCATTGGTGTTTCAAAATTGTCAATCAGTTAAAGAGCTCAGAAACTAAGCAAGGCCGGGCCTGGTTAGTACTTGGGTGGGAGATCACTGGGAAAATCAGGTGACACAGTGGGGTGCCAGTCGCAAAAACTTGTGTCATTAGGCAAGACACTTCACCCACATTGCCTAGTATGAAAGTGGTGAGTTGGTGATGGTCGGACTAATGGCGCAGATTGGCAGCCTCACCCCAGGGCAGCTGTGGCTACAATAGTAGTTTGCCACCACCGGGTATGGAATGAATGAATATGTGTCTTTGAGTGTCCAGAAAAGCGCTATTTAAAATGTATGTGTTAATTCATTTGGGACACACGTTTGTTTTTTAAGACTGCTCTTTCTTCAGGTAGGGGAGTTTAGAGAGTTATTATTTCTGAATATTATAATCTAAAATCTTAAATAATACATTTTAATGGTCCACCTTATAATGTCATGAAGTGGTAGTTTTCATGTTAACAGCTACCTTTTATCTTTAATTCAATAGAGATTGACAATTCCTGTACAGTACAAGGTGTATGGAGTTTAAAAACACAGTGGAGCACTTTCTCTATTGCCAAATGACATCACAAAGTGGAACAGAGTGGAAAAACCACAGCCGTAATTTGCAGGATTTGTGTGTTAAACAGATATGAATGAAACAAAACACAACTCCAGGTGTGTTTTAGATGAAGAAACAACATTATAACATAGATTAGTAAACATCTTAATTGAGATATTGAGGACATCTGTTTTTAAATATGACATAAAAAATACAAAAGAATAATAAACATTAAAATAAAACACTTAAAAGCTGACCTCCCGTCCTCATTAGAATACACTTCATTGTTGAGTCACACAGTTAAATGATCACACTGCCGATGATACAGCCTGATAATACGAAATAAGAGGAAATGATTCAGACTTTAGCTCAAGGCCAATCTGATCAAACCAACAAATGACTTCCCCTGTGACTGTCTGCAGTGCCAAAAATCAACAATATTATTAAAGATGCACTGTGCAATATTTTCCATTGGATCTGCCACTTGCATATGTTATCACTTTACCAGAAATGTTACACAGTATGACATTAAACTGATCGGTCTTGCATTTATTTAATTAAAGTTGTTAAAATGTATTGAAAAACACATACAGATCAGTCCTGTCACTTGGTCTCTTTCCGTCTCCTGCTTGTCTTGTTATAGGTAAGGGATAGATACGTTTAATGGCGTACTGTGGAACATTTCAAGCAAAGCAATAACGTTTCCATGGTGACAAGCAGGTGCCAGAAGAGCCTAAACCTTTAACTAACATTCAGAGACAATCATAATAAAGTTAGGTCTTACTCTTTGCACAATCTGGTCCGGCGTCTTGTCCCGCTCCGAGATGTGTAGTTCCTCGGTCCCAACAGCAGGGGGCGTCTCCTTTGGGACCATGTTGTAGTAGTCCATCCCAGGTTCAAGTCTTTGGTCAGTGTGTGAGTGTGATCTGGGAATGTCCACTGACCTGGGCACACACAATACAGAGACACATTATAGTACAACGAAGGTAAGGTTCTATGCCAGATGCCCCGCCTCACAGTATAATCCTCTTTTCTATGTCTCTCATGGGGTCCCCCCTGAAGGAGCTGGAGGAAGTGTCCAGGGTGAAGGAAGTCTGGGAGTCCCTGCTTTGACTGCTTCCCCTGCGACCCAGCCCCGGATTAGAGGAAGAAAATGGATGGATGGGTTTCACCTTTGTGTTTTGATGGCTTTTTTTTTCCATTCAGACTACATAACATTACGTTTTTAATTGTTAACTGCTATGGTGATATATTTTTTCATCTTTCTAAAAAATTTATTTCAGCTTCCCGTTATAATGCAACTTTTTATCATGCAACGTTTTCCCATTCAGAACGATTTCCATTTTCTTCTTCTTTTTTTTCAAATTGTTAATCATTATGTCAACAGACCAACAGATTTTTCATCATTCTAAAACCCATGTGGATTTGAGCTTCCACTTATATGTAACATTTTGAAGACGTTTTCCCAATGTCAAAGATACAACATTATGTTTTTAATTGATAATCACTCTCGATCACTAATCACGATTTTTCATGCTTCTGAAACCCATGAATATGGATTTCAGTTTCCTGTTGAATGCAACTTTTGGAGGAGTTTTTTCCTATTCAGAAGACAATATTTTAGTTTAAATTGTTAATCGCTATGGTAAAGGTCTAAATTTTTCATTATTCTGGCAACTGTGGACAAAGTTGGAGTTGGAACTGGTAAAAGACTCATACTGATCTGAAACGGGTCTGGTCTGTAGTCCAGGGGAATTCATTTTGTCCCTCTAATCATAAAAACAATACAATTTGGTGTATTAATAGACGATAAAAGAAAGGAATTTGGCATCAACAATTTATTGATTTTAGATAAACATTTTATTCACAAATGTTGTTTTTTCTAAGATTAAACCAAACATAACACACTTGAAGAATGACTTGAAACTCTTTGCTCGCTCACTGAGAGAAAATAGGCTGGTTTTCTTAAGTCCTTTTTGAATTATTTAAATTTATTCCTTTAAATTAGAGCTTTGAAATTGCCCCTTTTATATGTGAATATGTTTTTATTCACTGTTGTTTTTTATGCATTTATTTTATTTTAAGGTGCTGTTTTTGTTTGTATCTGGAAATTTGCAATTAAAAAAGAGTCTGGTCTGTTTTTAGATAGTGCTCACATTAATCTTATGTATTTACTATATATATGCTTCCATAATTTATAATATTATTACTATTTAGTATTTAATAAATAAGATGAGTTGAACCTGCGACTGTGGCTGAGCAGAGGAGAGGACTGGCTGAGCATCTGGTGGAATCGTGCTTCAAAAGCCTGTCCGATGCTGTTTATGACTTCTACAGCGCGCCCCTGTGGACACTCCAGGATATGACAGGCTGTGGACAGAGACAGATCACTTATATTAACAGGACTGTGCTTTAAATATTGTAAATGGTCACGTCACATTTATATTAGTCTAGAGGGTTTTTCTAATATTTATGTATGTGTATCGCTTGTATTGCTTATTTTAACTAACCATTAAATAAGAGAAGTACTATTAATAGACCTTTTTTTACACTGTCCGGAAGTGCCGTGGTGTAGGGTAAACGTTACTTATATTTAAACCTTTTCTATGGCAAAATATCTGTGGAAATGTCTCATGTATTTTCCACCAGCTTCATAAATCTGTCCCATCGCCAAATCTTCAACCAACAAGGTCGACAAAGATGAAATAAAGAATTTATCCACAACTATCAAGGTAAGAAGGACAAAAACCTAAAGGCGAACAACGACTAGCATGAGTGAAATACTCCTGAGCAAAACTAATGTTATGGTCATGAAAAACATAAGTAATAAGTAATTCATTAATAAGTAACTTGTGAACTCTGACTGATTCTATTAATTAAATGAATTAAAATTAAAAATCAATTTTATGATGTAGATATGAGCACAGACAGAGAGATTTGTGCTTTTGTCTAGCATTTAAACTGCACAAATCTATCTGTCTATGCTCATATCTACATCATGAAATCGATTTTTAATTTTAATCCTAGAATCAGTCTGAGTTAACAAGTTACTTATGTTTTATTCATGACCATAATGCTAGTTTTGCTCAGGAGTAGTTCACTAATACTAGTCGTTGTTCGCCTTTATATTTTCGTCTTTCTTACCTTGATAGTTGTGGATAAATTCTTCATGGACAGAATATGTTCTTTGTCGACCTTGTTGGATGAAGATTTGGTGATGGGGTAGACAGATTTATGAAGATGGTGGAAAATATGAGACAAAATGAGAAAAATGAGACATTTCCACAGATATTTTGCCATAGAAAAGCATTAACCGAACCCTACATCACAGCAATTCTGGCTGTTATGAAAAAAGTCTATTCTGCCTACTCCTTTTTATGGCTTTATCAGTTTCGTTTGGAATTGTGTAACTGTCAAAAAACATAAAGCAGCTTAAATAAACACAGGAAACAGTGGGATAAAAATACACTCTCTTATGGTTCTTTATTTGACCTAATGTGCATGTAACATAATAACATATTTCACAACAGAAATTACAGCGCTCTCTCCTACCTCTGCGATTGTCCTGGTCCTTAGCCACATAAGCAATGTAGTCTGCCATATCCTGTGGACAAAAAACAAACAACAACACATGAGTCACAGATGAATTACTGATTTAAGATAGTATATAGAAATGAGTGTGTACAAAACTAGATTGTATATAAGAGAATATGAGATTTTAAACTAAATTAAAATCTCATAAATTGTGAGAAAAACAAATGTAACATAGTTGAACATGCAAGAATAACATAGATTAAGGTAACCAGATTTTCAAACTAAAAACTGAGACATCCCTGGTTTGGATTGGATGGTAATAATAAAATTGTGAAACGAGTGTGTAATTAATAGGGATGTAACAATAACCAAAATATCGTGATATAAGTTTCTTTGCTTAAATACATCTTATAAACATGGGGAACTACATATCCCATGATTCATTTCAGTGAAGACAACATGTAGAAATATGTTTTTGACCTGAATTCTTGGTATTTATGATGGAAAGAATTCACACCAAAATCTTGTCAAAGTATTTTAAAAGCAAACACTGTCCCATCTACAATTATATTAGCCTCTCCAAAATATTGCAATAAATACATCCTTAGTAATTAAAATTAATTGTTCTGCACTCGGCACTAATGTGAGTCACTATAGTCACATTTTCTTTGTGTTTTGGTCATTTTTAAGCAGCTTTTCGGTATTTTATCTCCGCAAATGAGAATGTATGCCTCTCTTTACTGTTGGCAGTGATCAGATTGGTCAAAAATAGGGACACCTGGGACATTTCTTATTGTATAAAACTGGTACAAATCACTGGTTTTGGATAAATCTGCTGGGACAAGGGACACAGGGCTCAAAACTGTGACTGTCCCGGGTAAATAGCAGAGGTGGGACCAAGTCGTTGTTTTGCAAGTCTCAAGTAAGTCTCAAGTCTTTGACCTCAAGTCCGAGTCAAGTCCCAAGTTGAATACAGGCAAGTCCAAGTCGAGTCTTCAGTCACTGGCCCATAAGTCCAAGTCAAGTCCAAGTCAAGTCCAAGTTGTCTGCTTTGAGCTTCAAGTTATTTGAAGTATTTAAATCAAAGTACCAAATATAGCTTAGATTTTCTGCTATTTATATAACTTTTACGATAAATTGTACTTAAAAAATCATAGTATATTTATATATGAGTATTTATAGAGTATGTAAGAGTTGCAGAAATGTAATTTTTTCCTTTTTAAATGTCTTGACAAGATCTTAGTGTGAATTTTTATGGTTAGAACAGAAAGAATTCAGATTTATAAGTGCTTCTCAAGTCTTCTCAAGTCACAGGCCTCAAGTCCAAGTCAAGTCCCATGTCTTAGTCCATTTTATCAAGTCAAGTCTCAATTCCTAAAAATAGAGACTCAAGTCCCCACCTCTGGTAAATAGGGACATCTGCTCACTCTAACATAGGCTCGTCCTTGTGAAATAGACAGTCACATCAATTAAAATCACACATGACATGAGAAAAATTAGTTTAAAGTGCACACTTCTGGAGAATGCATTGTACAGAAAATCTCATAAGTGGAGATAAGGTCCTTTACAGAGTCTTTAAGTGGATCCTGACCTCGGTACTGTGAACTGTAGACTTAAATTACCACCGTGAATGAACAGCAGAATGACTCTCTGCAGGAGATAACCAAAAGGCCAGAGATTATAATAATACCTCCTTATCGCCAGGAAGAAAGTATAATCAGGTTTAATCCGAAAGTTACTCTGTCTAATTCACTCTAATCCTATTTAGTTTCTCCATTAATTTTGTCGTTTATGAGTGTTATATAGGCTCTTTTTCAGGATGTGAACAGTCATCAGTGTTGCTCTATTGGACATGTCCCGCAGCGTGGCATTAACTGGAACTCATTGATTTTGATCCAATGACTGAGCTCATTACAGGCTCTGAGGGCAAGAGGAAGTTTACTATTGGGAGAGGTAACCCACATTCTGTCAAAAGGGATAAAAAAGGGTCACACATAGACACGCAGAACTGGGTTACGAGACAATGTTTTGACTGGATTTCACAACACAAGGTTCATTTTGTTTGTGTGTTTTTAAAAGGAGGTAGAAAATGCTGTTATAATATTACGCAAAATTGACTCTTGTGAGCTTTAAGCCGTGTTATCAAACTGTTACCTCATTAAATAGAGAGAATACATCTAAATGTCCATCTAAAATGTCCAAAAGCAACATTTGAGAACATAATCACTGCTATTTCAGGTCAATCTGTGTATCGTTCGTTCATTTCGTTTGTTCGTTTTTCAAGATAAAACCAAGAATAAGAAAATGAAAAAACAACTATTTTCTTCATTATTTGTCTCCGAAACCAAAATGAAAAAACAGATAACGATTAGTTTTTCAGTTTTTGATTTTGTGTTTAAATGAATAATAGAAAAAATGTATATCAGCCGTTTCCTGTTTCCGTGACTTAAACTGTGGTGCCGGACTTTTGCTCTGCATACGGACTGAACCAGGACTGAATCAGGACTGAACCAGAACTGAACCAGGACTGATCCAGAACTGATCCAGGACTTAAACAGGACTACACCAGGACTGTGTGTCGGGATGGGCCCGGAGGTGCGTGTGCATAGACTGTCAGATGATCAGGATTGAGTCCAGGACCAGACCTGAACCAGACCTGAACCAGACCAGGACTGAGACCAAGACTGAGACCATGACTGACAGGACTGGGATCAGACCGAAACCAGACCGGGACTGAGACCAGGAGTTGTTTTAGTCCTAGCTTAGTCCTAGTTTAGTCCTGGTTTAGACCTGGTTTAGTCCTGGTTTAGACCTGGTTAGTCCTGGTTCAGTTCTGGTTTATACCTGGTTTAGACCTAGTCTAGTCCTGGTGTAGTCCTGGTTTAGTCCTGTTTTAGTCGTGTTTAGACCTGGTTTAGTCCTGGTGTAGTTCTGTTTTAGTCCTAGTTCAGTCCGTATGCGACGCATATACGTTTTTTCTATTATTCATTTAAAACACAAAATCTAAAATTGAAAAAAACGAATCATTATCAGTTTTTTCATTTTGGTTTTAGAGACAAATAATGAAGAAAATAGTTGTTTTTTCATTTTCAAATTTTTTGTTTTATTTTGAAAAATTAATGAACGAATGATACACGGATTCAGGTCTAAACTCAACGTAAATAATGAGGTATTCTTTTTTGTCGGTAGAAGATGGTCGATCACTTAAATTGTTCGCAAACTGTGATAATTACGACTGCAATTAGATTTTATTTCAATTACTCACTCAACTCTAATTTGTGAAAAGTCGCACTCTCTTGTAAGATCATGTTAGTTGGGAGTAAACACTTGCAAACAGAGACTCAGTGTAAAACAGGCTAATCTTGGTTCTATGGAAATGTAATGAAGTCGGAAGTGAGGCCTAATCCAATAGAGGGATGGCAGGGGTCCAGCGGTAAACAGGCTAAAACAATTTCCCCTGAACACGTGAGCGGGTCCTACCGGGTCGGCCCCAGAGGCAAAGGAGATGGACTGCATCGAGTGGTGAGCGATTTTCTGCACAACACAAACAAACAGGGATTCATATGTTTATTTACATCAGTTAAGGAATATTTTGTAGAAGTAGAAAACAGAAGATTTATAAGGTGCACTGTGTAACTTTATGGATACGTCATAGCTCTGCCTGAAATGTTCCACAGGTGGTTTTATAGCTCAAAAATAACAAAAACAAGGATTCTGACTGTGAGCGGGGTCGTTTCTCCACAGATCTGAGCTGTAACTTGGTCTGGTTTGGTCTCCAATGAAGATAGGAAGGTTGAATACTATACTGTGAAACATTCCAGACAAAGCAATATTTTACAAAATTTCCACAAGAAAAGAAAATTTGATGGAACTGCTACCAGAAAAGTTACACAATCCACCTTTATATGCACAAAATAGATGGATATGTGAAAGTCCATTGTTTTTTTAGGGTTAGTTTTATTTTTTTTTTTATGGCAACTCATAAATATTGTGTAAATCAGATGAGTTTTGGTCCTGGTTATCATTATGGTTGCTGGGTAAGTCATAGAATTATTGCAATATATGTCACGTCTTTTGTCCAGATGAAACAGAAAACACACACCGAAGTTCTTGAGGAAGTGCAAATGCAAGAAAAAATGCATAGCACACTCAGATGGAAGATGTAAAAAAGCTTTTTTTTTTATTTTTAAATTATGTTTGCCATAAAGTCTTTTATATTAAAGTCAGTTATTTCATTATTCTGTTTTAATGTCAAAACAAACCAAAAAAATGATTTTGGCCTCTTTTTCCAATATTTAATTTAAAGTTTATTTCAAATAACATCAAAAAAAGAGTCTCAGTGCCTATTTTAATTTTGATATTTTATTCTCTCTGCTTTATATGCCCCGAAAGTTCTGCTACAGTGTCAACCATGGATCTATAATAAAAATGATTAATTATTAAAGTTCTATGGAGTCAACTGAACAAAGGAGGGTTTATCACTGCTACTTTTTTGTCATGGAGTTCAACAATGACTTTCTAAGACACAAAAGCAAATATGTCGCTGTAAAAGAAGAGAACATATTTGTCCACAAAATTGCAACGATTTTTCAGGTCCAAGTCTTTCTGGTGCAAATAAACCAGAGAGAATAAAATATCAAAATTAAAATAGGCATTGAGACTGATTTTTGATTGGTGTTATTTGAAATAAACTTTAAAATAAATACCGGAAATAGAGGTTGAAATCTGTTTTTTTGTTTGACACTATAACGGAAAATTAAATAATTGAAATTCAAAAGAAAAATGGTACATGGACCTCTTCGTCAGATAATTTTTCTTGCTTTGAACCACAGTATTTTCTGTTCAACCAGGAAGTCAAATGATCATCAAAAAGTTCATAAAAAGTTCATCAAAATTGTGAAAGGACAATCTTGTAAAAACTGAGATAAACCAGGGCAAAATATCTGCAATCCCACCACAGAATTCTGACCAGTCCTTCAGCTTAAACTGTAGGAAGTTGATAATACTTTTATTCATTTTAGAATTGATGTCACCTGAACCCAAACAATCCTCACCCTCACTGTCCATTTAAAATAATACAATAAAGATTTGAAGTTATCTTCCTCAGTAGTTAAAAGTGGTAGATGTGTTGAACAGTACTCGATGTTGTTACCTGCAGAGAGGAGACACAGAGCAGACTCAGACTCTCTGTGGACACACTGAGGATGACTCTGCTCCTGCTGAAGCTCAGGTCACTCTGGCCCAGAACCACACACAGGCCTTTGTGACCCGTCTGCACCTGAACAACAACAACACAATCACTCTGCTGTCTGCTACAAGAGCTTCCACAAGGCTCTACACTATGCACAGAATCTCTCTTGTATTATAAAAGAGTCCATATTGTGATATTTTCTGGTCTATGTTATAAAGTTTCCTTATCACAAACATACTCTACCATGATTTTAAACTCCATGAACTTTCACTAGAATCATTTGGATAATTTCAGCCCTGGAATTGTCAACCTCTAATGATTTAAAGATAAAACGTAGCTGTTAACTTGAAAATTACCTCTTACAAATATATATATTACAAAGTGGAACAGTGGAGTATTTTGAGATATGGAGATGTAGACAAATTAATTATAAATGAAACAAAACACAACTCCTTGTATGTTTTTGACGAGGAGGTAACAACATTATAACATGTCTTAAAGCTCACAGGAGTCAGTTTTGTGTAATATATAGAATCTGTAATGTCTTTTATGTCAACCTTTTTAACTTTTATTTTAAAAATGATTACAATTTTTAATCTGAATTGTAGCCTCCTAGGACCTGGTGTCATTTTGTGTTGTTCAGGCACTTAATGAATTTTTTTTTGCAAATCATTATTCATTTGTGACTTTATTGTGTTCCATCAAAATGATTAAAACACAAGATGAATGTTTTATATATCATATGTGGACATAATTTTTCTCAGAAACTACATCGTGTAAAAATATAACTCTTTGTTTTTGCTCTTATCATGTCCCAATCAGAAATCAATAAAGCCATGCAATGTTCAAGTCTTAGGAGGTGAATGCATTTCAATGTATTTTTTTTTCAATAGTTTTAGAATAAAAATATAAAATAGATGTATAACTAACTTTCTTTATTATCACCTAATGACATCACAATGTAGCATCTGGTGTTTTCAGCTCTGGAGAGGGAAATGGCCTAAATATGTGAGATTACGTCATAGAAACATATATAGGCTAGGAACCAATTTTTATTGAGTAAAGTAGCTAAAAACATCAGAAAAAGCAAATTGTGGTTTAATATATAGTTTTAGGGGTGTGCAAAAATATTAAAATATCTATATATATCATATTGTTTAATGTGATGATACAGTATCTATATTGTGAGCTGCTGTATCGATGTATCGCCAAGAGTATTTTTTGATATACTTTACTCAATTATTTTGTTACAGCTACAGTTTTGTTGCTTGTTTAGAGAGAGGAAACTCGTTTATTTCGACATTTTTACTATTTTGATGAGTAAAATGTTTGTGTGTTCATACTAACTTTGCACAGGAAGTGGTTTAACAAAGACTTTTAGCATCACAGCCATGATTTTATGATTTTAAATATATCGTATGGCATTGAAAGTTCACTGTATCGAGGTATGTATCGTATCGGCAACTTCTTAATGACACCCAGCCCTAGTTTTAACATTTTAACCCTAAGTATAAGTCTTTCTTTAGCGCAGGGGTGGGCAATTATTGTTTCCATGGGGCCACATGAGAAACAGAAAATATCGTAGAGGGCCAGGCCAAAATGCTTAACTCAATTCTGCATAATATTAATTGTATTTCCTTATGAAAAGTAGTAAATAGCATTGTTTTGACGAGCTGGTCAGACTGGTGAGAGTTTATATTATGACTAAGCAATGAAAAAGTGAGGATGCAGCATTAGTTCTATGCATCAGGTAAAATTATGAATGTTTATTTTGTAATTCCAAATGAGCTTAAACGGTCAGAGTCAACCAAAGAGCTTTATGTGGCCCAGGAGCCGCACAATGCTCAGGTTTGCTTTAGTGTGTGCTCTGTTTTACCTTTTTGGACTTGACTGACGTCTTGGTGGAGCTCTTTTCACACAGTCTGCTTATCGCCTCTCTGTGGAAAACACCAACAAATACACTCATTAGTAACAGAATACAACAAAAATACTCGTACAATACACAAAACTGAATAATCAAAGCAAATCTTCTGTTATTTTTTGCCCATAACAACACAACTTCAACATAATTAAGACGCAATTAAGACATAATGTGTAATTGAAATATGGGACAGACTAAAATGAAGTTCTGAATGAAGGAAATTATAGTTAGGGATATTAGAAGTATTAGAAGTACATAAGTTTGACATGTACAAAGGAGGATTCATGAATATATTATAGAGAATATTTTGGATACTAGTAGTACAGAATTTTTTGAGATTTTGTATTTGTGTTTAAGGAACTGGGGACTCTAAGGACATTTTCCATATTTAGTATTTAATTGTTAATTAGTATGGCAACGTCCATATTTTCTATTTTTAGTTTTTAATCAATCGGAAACCCACTATTAAGCATTGTATAACGCAGAATTACAGTCAAGGGCTTTGCTTTAGATCATCTTGTGACATAACTGACCTCTCCACCGGGCTACGTAACGGTCAGGAGGGTCAAGTCGAAACAAAATAAGAGAAAATCTGCGAAACCATCTGTTGATTCTGAGAAACACTCCCTCGCTGTGTAACTGCAGACCCCAATCACAGCAGCCTGGATCGTTAGGAGGAAATTCAGCTAATTGGATTTTGTGGAGCATCGGTCTGCCGCAGAGCTACAACAGAGCCCGCACTGTCCGCCCACTTAAAGCATCCTCCTCTCACCGTCAATATGAAATGATACGACTAAAATCCTGTTACTGATTAATCTGATTTCCCCTTTAAATGTGTTAAATAAACGTCGCATGTCTAACTTGGCAAGTGTCGTCGTACTTATAGAGATTGGTCATCACTTTGTTTCACTTTGTGTAATTTGAGGAAAAACACACAAGCAATTTACAACAAACCTACAGCAAAAAATATATAATGATGAGTGATTTTGCTTAAATAACTAAATAACCAGACTTTATTCTCTTCATTAAATGTACACAAAGGAGACAACAATTATTAATATGCTAAATAAAAATGACATGAACTGAGATCAAATGAATGAATGAAAAATGATGTTTGATTACGCTTTAAAGCAGACATGTCAAACTCAGGCCCAGGAACCAAATTTGGCCCGCGAGATCATTTCAAATATATATTAGAGTTGCCTGCTGGATACAGATAGGCTATGGAGACATTATTTATTTACAATTTTTGTTCTGGATTCAGTGTATAAGCAAAACTATTATTAAATATTTATTTTAACAAGAAAAGGTTTAGCATTACATATCTCGAAAGAGGAGAAAACATGCAGATGTTGTTGAAATTAATATATCAACCAATATATCAATCAATAAATATTTAGTTTGGTCCATGACTTAGTCCCAGTTTTTAATTTTGGCCCTCTGTGAATTTGAGTTTGACACCCCTGCTTCAAAGGAACTGCATGTAAGATTTACAGTAGATTTTTATTTCATAAGAATAACAATTCATAAATGAATAACCTAATCTGGGGTGTAGCTCCAAATTCTGGGTCCAGAATTAAACATAGCAACATTGGACATGATGGTCAAGTTGTTCATGTTATAATTTGGTGGTTTGTTTGATTCTCAAGATGATTACACAATCGGAAACCAAAATGAGCCTCACATGATTCTCCTATTTGGGATTCCAGTTTCAGCGCTGAAAACTAAGCTCAGTTGTGATTGTAATTCTGTGAGAGCAAAGGAATCATGTCAGTATATTTGATTTTATGGTAATAAGTCTGAAAATTATTAGTTTATTTGTTCAAATATTAAGATGCGTCAGAGCACTACAGTTACTAATTTTATATTTTATTTGTAGAAATATTTACTTTGAGTTATGTGATCTTTTTATTTTGCCCGGAAGTAAACAAAGGGAGAAATAGTAGCTGCGAAAGAGAAAAAAAGACGATGGAGAGAAACACAGAAAAGGGTGTAAAGACAAGATGTCAAACTTAAAGAAACACTACTTAACTACCACTGGTGATGTACAGGCAAACACGGTAAAGATATTGTTTTGAATTCTGCATTTATTTAATGGTATTTATGTAAAGCTAAGATATTATCTCTGTCTCTCCTCATTTTCGTTTTCATGGTGTTCAGTGTGTTGATGGAGTTGAAGATTACTGAGGATAAATACTGGCACACATGATCATCAGTACGGAGCGTGAAGTCCTTTTTTGCGAAGAAAACATATAGTTCATATAATGTAATCTTGCACTACCCCAACAAGTGTAATATCGGGTATAACAGCGATCTGGCTTTGCAAATCGCTGACTCTTTAGTCTTAGAAAAAGGAACACTAAGGTTTAAAATTTCAGCATATCTCATCATTAAAAACATCAGTGCTTCAGTTCAGTTCAGTAAGTTTGAAACGACAAGAGCCAAAACCCGCTACTGATGTATTTAATCCAATTTCCCTTTAAATGTCCTAAATAAGCGCTGCATGTCAGACTCGGCGAATGGTGTCGTACTTATAAGGACTCAGGTTACAGCTGCGTTTTAACTCATTCAATGGGTTTATTTGAAGAGTGTGAAAGGTTGTTAGTCAAAGCAGTACCGTGTGACTTGCATCCGAGTTCTGAAGTCCAAGGTCCTCATCGACTGGGTGACCTCCACACTGCCCATGTACTGAAACAAAGGGATAATTATATGTTAAAGGTCCTAAATTACAAAAAAAAAAAAAAAAAAAAACTCTTGTGAGCTTTAAGCCATATTATAATGCTGTTAACTCCTCAAAAACAGACCTGGAATTGTGTTTTGTTTTATTCACACGTTTGAGTAACCCTTTATTATTTATTTTAACACTTTTTATTTATAGTTTTTAGTTATGATTTATTGTCTTTTATTGTATTAATTTGTCTGTGCAGCACTTTGGAAACTATCATGTTTATAAAATGTGCTATATAAATAAAGTGGACTGGTTTGGATTTATTATTAGTTTGTCTACATCTCCAAAGCTCAAAATGCTCTGTCCTAATTTATGATGTCAATTAGTGGTAGTTTTCCTTTTTTTTTTTTTTGTGGAGATTGGCAATTCCAGGTCTGAAATTATCCACATGATTCTAATGAAGATGTATGGAGTTTGAAAACCCAGTGGAGTTGTTTTACCACATGACATCAATGTTTTCTGTTTGAGAGATTTCCAGGATTTGTGTGTTAAACATGTGTGAATGAAACAAAAAACACAACTCCAGGTCTGTTTGTGATGAGGAAACAACATTAAAACATTGATCAGAAAATAGCATGATATGGGCCCTTTAACCCTCTCCAGGCAGGCGTTGTAGATTTGCAACAACTAAATGCCAATTACCTACTTACTCCACATCCATATTTTATTGAACTTTTTTTACTCAGGAGCCTTTTCTCCCATCCATGCTGATAAACGCGGGCTCCACGCAAACGGCCTGCCAGAAGTGCAAAATACTTTTTTTGTTCACAAAGGATAAAAAAGTCAGGATTGTATATTACTACCCCATATTATAATTTTTCCTGATACTAAAAATTTATTTGAGCCTGAGAGGGTTAACGTGATCCTAAATATATTTGCTAATGAATTTTTGAAGTGAAGATTCAGTAAGCAGTAGTGTTGTAGTACTCGAGACCGGCCCATTTTTTTCTGTCTTGGGCTCATCTCAGACTTGTGTTTGGACTCTGTCTTGTCTCGGTCTTGAGGTCTGACACTCGACGGGTGAGAAAATGGAGATAGATGTATAAAACCTTTGATACATATGTGCCAAAGTAACTCTAAAATACAAATAAATGTTGAAAATTCCAAAGATGGTCTTGATTTGGTCTCAATGGGCCGTGGTCTTGGGCTTGTCTCAGCCTTTAAAAGCCTCGGCCTTGTCTCGGTCTCGACCCTCAGAGGTCTTGGTCTTGTCCTGGTCTCGGGACCCTGTGGTCTTGGACTGATCTTGGTCTCGAAGTGTGGTCTTGACTACAACTCTAATAAACAGCGAAGAACACATTTTAAAATACACCAAGAACAATTTACTTTTAAGCTCAAATATGAACTGCAAATCTCAGTTGTGAAACATATTGATGATACCCAGATATACACTGCAGTGAGATTTACTTGTGTTCTACATGCATCTCTATTGGCAGAATGTTCAGCCATTACCATGAACGCACACATTAGCACACAGTCAAAACCAAATTTCACATTTTCAGGAGCCTGTGGTCAATACAAGCGTTCATGGTTCTGTTTAGGGGTTTGATTTTCAACAAAAAGGTGAGAAACTAACTTAACAGCGTGTCAGACAGAGTAGTGCTTTCAGTTAGCATCACACGCCGACGAAATGTTGATGACACCAGATGCAATGTATTATTATTATTATGTAACAGTGTATTACAGTGTTCACTGTTCAGTCTCACAAAAAGGGAACACAGAGGTTTAAAACTGCACCATAATCTCTCCTCTTTTTTACATCACCATCTCTCTCTTTCTCCTTCACTCTCCCTCTATTACCCTTTCACCATCCCTCTCTCACATCATTCCTCTCCTCCATTCCCTAACCCTCCTTTCTCTCTCCTCTCTTTCTGAGCACCTCTTTCAAGTCCCCTCTCCATCTCTCTCAGTCCTTCCTCTTTCTCTCATCCTCTTTCCCTTTTCATTTCTCTCTCTCTCTCGTTTCTCTCTCCCTCTCTCGTCTTTTCTCCCAATCTCCCTTTATTTTACCTCTTTCTCTTTCCATCTCTCTCCTCTCTCCCTGCGCCTCTCTCATCTATCTTCCCATTCTCTCCTCCTCTCCATCCCTCTCTCGTCTGCTTTCACTCTCCCCCTTTCTCTTTTTCTTCACACCTCACCCTTCCTCCTCCTCTCTTTCCCTCCATCTCTCTCTCCTCTCCTCTCCCCCTCTCTCCATAACTTCCTGTGTGGGCGGCGGTGACTCATCCTGGCTGTGCTCGTGTGAATATATTCTATGTTTATATCCGGTCCGAGCCGGGTCCAAGCTGACAGATCTGACACAAGAGCTGCACACACACACACACACACACACACACACACACACACACACACACACACACACACCCACACACCCACACCCACACCCCACACACACACACACACACACACACACACACACACACACACACACACACACACACACACACACACATAGACACACACACATGCACACAGACATACAAACACACACAGACACACAATTGCGCGCACACACACACACGGACAAATACATACACCCATGGACACATACACACACACATGCACATGCACGTACACACGGACACACACACACGCAGACACACAATTGAGCAGACACACAGACATACAAACACACAGACACGCACACATACATACAGAAACACACACATACACATACAAACACATACACACATAGACACACGCACATGCACACATACACATACACACAGACACACACTATACCCCAACAGACAGACACAGACACACACACGCTCACACACACTAGACCCTGACACACACATAGACATACAAACACACAGAGACACACGATTGCTCACGCACACACACACAAATACACTAGACCCTGACACACACGCACACATACACACACTAGACCTTGACATACACACAGACAGACACACACAGGCATACAAACACACACACATACAAACACACACACACACACACAATTGCTCACACACACACAGACATACAAACACACACACGCACACATAAACACACTAGACCCTGACACACACACACACAAACACACTAGACCCTGACACACACAAAGACAGACACACACACAGCCATACAAACACACACACATACACATAAACACACTAGACCCTGACATATACACAGGCATACGAACACACACACACACACACACACACTAGACCCAGACACACACACAAACACACACAAACACATACCCAGACACACACACACACTAGACCCCGACAGATATGAGTATTTTCATGACTAATGCCGGCTTAGATTATTTTAACCAGATGAAATCATTGTAACTCACCCACAACCCTTTTTTGTCTTTTTTTTTTTTTACAAACCCATAAGTGAACTGTTTAATCACATGTTGTGCAGATTTATCTTCTTCTTAAACTGTTCAAATAAAGCCTTGTGTGTTTTATTTAGGCAGCAGACTGTGCAAAACTAAATATTGTTCTATGCTGGAGATTTACAGCCTGTAGTCAATACGGTAAAAAAGTCCAAATATCAGCCCCCACACACACTCACACGCACACACACAGTCGCCCACGCTTCTACAACGCTATTGATTCAACCTTGGATTTATCAATGGACTTACTCATCCTCCCTGCAGCCAATGAGAAGCGAGCGGACAGAGCGGCAGCCAATAAAAACCTCATAGTAGAGTGCGAGCAAAGACCACGCACGAAATGAATCAGAGAAGAGACAGTCACAACCACATCGTTACCCCGGCACTCCTGTCAATACTTTTACATTTACACATTATAATCAATAGCAGCGCTTCTGAAATACTGGACTAAATACAAATGCTACACTTACGATAGGACTGTAAGAGCAACTGAAATTATAAAGAAACTGTAATTTAATATTTGTAAGTAAAACGAGAAACACTGCAAATGTTTAGAAGTATAATATAGCGGCCCTGTAAACCTGCTGACGTGTAGTTCAGACCTCTGCAGGTACTTTATGTTCTAAACTGCATGAAATACTACGTACAGAACAGAACATCAGCGTTATCTAAGTACTGATGTATTGAAAATGTGCACTGCAAAACTCAATTCAGATTTTTTTGCACAGATTTGGCCATAATGCTTGAGGAGAAGGTTCGCCGTCTGCTTCAAATCAAATCAATTTCAATAAAATTTTATGTTTTTCTGAACTTTTAAATTATAATCCCACAAGGCACAAGAAGGCAAGTTTGTGTATATGTGCTCCATCACCACAGCGTGATTAATTTAGCAGCTTGACAGGTTCAGTTTTAGTAAAATTACAACCAGAGACAAGACAGTAAATTAATAATAATAATGGTAACAATAGACAAAAAAAACAAAAATAGGCAAAAAGCAAAAAAACAAACAATACAAATTAAAATAAGTGAAAGAGAAGAAAATTTTTATAAAAGAAATTAAGTAAAGGGTTTGGTACCTTTCTCTTTTTCTTTTAGATTAATTAAATTTGATTATATTTAGGTTATTTTATTTTATATTTATTATACTTATTCATTTAATTGTTTCTATTTATTTCTATACTGGTTTGAAACATAAATATGGCACTGCCTTCCTATACTGCATGTCTCCCTGGAGAAGTAATTGCTTTCCCTGAAATCATCTATCTATTTGCATAGGTCAGGTCAGATCAGTGGAGAAGCGACCCTAACCTTGCTCATACCAGATTCATATGTGTGTCATTCTGGATTGAGTTCTACACATTATCAGTATGGGATGCCTCTCACTGAAAACGATCGGAAAATGCAGAGAGTCATGACGACTATTTTAATCTGACTGGTCGAAGCGTCACAACAATGGAGCAGAAAAATCTAACTTTTGTTACATCTGTTTGATAGAAAAGCACACACATCTTCCCTGTCCACAAATCCACAAAGTGCTTACCTTCTGCACGTTTTTTCACAAACGAAGTAGTCGGTCGGTGTTTGTTTTGGTTTGCTTCTGCCCAATTAACTGCACAGTAAGCACGCTCCAAGGTGGAATATTGTGAGAATACATCTTATTATGCAAGGTTAAGGCGACCCCACTCACAGTAAGAATGCATGTTTTAACTGAATTAATGCAAAATAGACAAATTTAATGACCCACATCTGTTGTTATGCTCTTAGGCAAGGCATTTCCCTGCCTGGTCTATGAATGTGGTGTGGCTAAACTGTGGGGACAGGTCTATTGCATCCACACTTCTGTCTTCTTACCTTAATATCATGGTGGATGGCAGTCTTCACTCCGGCCTTCTCGGAGTAGGCTCTGTCCCAGCAGCACTTCAGTCTGTGGTGGTCACAGGGGACACAGCCGGGGGTCCAGGGCAGACTGGCCATACGGTGCAGGGTGATGGGGCGTTTGGTGCACCTCTGGGATAAACTCTCAGCTCTGTCCAGAGAAGTCTGATTAAACAGTCTCTGCTCAGTCCTGTCCCCGTGTCCTGGGACTGTAACTGGTTTTGGGGGTCCAGTCCGGTCTCGTAGGGGGCTCTGGATCCGAATATTGGCCATGAAGTCCCTGAGAGTGGAGGGGACCGAGGGGAGGGGGGAGAGGTCCTGGTCCAGACACAGGTTTCTCTTCAAGGGCAGGACTCGGATTGGACGGTCCTCCAAAGACGGGAGCGTATCGTTTCGGAGACGGCTGTATTTGGTTCGCTTCAGCATGCCTGGATTTGACACAGAGAACAAGATAGACAACATATAAAAGCAAATACACTCTTTAACACTGTATTTTTTTATGTAAATGATGCACTGTGTAACTTTTGTGGAGGGTCTTCTGTAGTATGGCATTAAATGTGTGTCTTTCTCTAAAGGTGTTTATTATTACTACTCAAAACACCTCGACAAACAAAGCATTCTTCCACAGATCTGACCTGTACTTTGACTTGAATGCTGCTGCTGCGTCAGTACGCTTTCACAAGACCTAAGAAATAATTTAATTTGCAGCACCAGCTACAGTAAAAGCAATAGTCATAATATTAAAATAAAATGTACCTGGTAAAAGTCCTGTTGGAGATTTAAATAGTGTGTCCTTTCTCATGCTCTGAAAAACCAGAGATGAATCAAACGCAACTGTACCTATTGAGGGCAAATCATCATGTTGTTTAGGCGTTTTTAGAACAATAATTTAGAAATTTATAGACAGATATAAAAGTAGAACTCACCAGTATGGGTCACCTTAAACTGTATTCATTCCCATTTTCATAATTGTTCTTCTAAATCCAACTTTTGCTCCATGTGTCTCTCTTGCCGTCTTGTATGCGCTGGTGAGATCCCGGTTTTATGAATGAGCTCTGACTGCCTCCCCCCTCCCCTTGTCCCCCTCCGTCCCCTCCCCCTGTGATGACGGAGCATGCAGATCGATGCGTGAATGGATTGGCAGAGACCCCCCCCGGCCTCCCCCTCCCTCACCCCAACAGCCCCGCCTCCTCCCGTGAAGCGCCGGCCAATCAGCGGCGAGCAGGGTGAGTCATGCTGTGAGTGGTGTACACTAGAGCAGAGCTGAGGCAGAGCATGAAATATTATCACAAAAAGTACAAATTGTCTTTTAAAAGGGCCCATATTACACACTGTTTTCTGATCTATGTTATAATGCTGTTTCCTCATCAAAAACAGGCCTGGAGTTGTGTTTTGTTTCATTCACACACGTTTTAACACAAAAACCCTTCATATTTAGACCGAATTCTTTCAGACAGAACAGAAAACTCTCCACTTTGTGATGTCATGTGGTGATACAGAAGTGCTCCACTGTGTTTTTAAACTCCATACACCTTCACTAGAATCATTTGGATAATTTCATCCCAGGAATTGCCCATTTCTACTAAACAAAATGTAAAATGTAGCTATTAACATAAAAACTCCTACTTCTTGACATCACGAGGTGGAACAGAGCATTTGAACTTTGGTGATGTAGACATATTGGCTGGGTATCATTCAGAAGTTGCCGATACGATACATATCTCGATACATAAGCCACGATATGATACATATCCCGATACAGTGATCTTACGATTCGATATGATATAGTACGATCTATTTCAAATCGATTCGATGCAATGCAATAAAAAATAAAGGCTTGATCATACCTGTGATTCTAAAAGTTCTGCAAAGTGAACATGAAACACAAACATTTTAATTATCAAAACAGTGAAAATGTCAAATGTGTCACATAAATGAGTTTCATTCCTCTAAACAAGCAATAAAACTGTTGCGCTATAACAAAATATTCTAGTAAAATATACTAAAAATACTCTTGGCGATATATCAACACAACAGCCCACAATATCAATACTGTATCATCACATTAAACAATACGATATATCGATATTTGAATATTTTTGCACACCCCTAATATAGACTGATAATGCAGGATTACTCAAACATGTGTGAATGAAACAAAACACAACTCCAGGTCTTTTTTTGAGATAACAACATTAACATAAAGAGCACAAGAGTCAGTTTCAGTCTTCACAGTATTGCATGGGATTTATATAGCATTTTTTTTTTATTTGTATTTATTTACTAAAGGGACAATGCATATTAAAAAACAAGACAATGCAAAAGACAAACATGTACTTGTAAATAAGCAGGATTGTAGCCAAAGCTAATTTCCATCTTTTGTGCCTTTCTGGACCAAGGGTTTTCTGCCACAAAACCCACATGATCCATAAACCATGACAAAAGACACAAAAACAGCTGCCTTTTAGACATTAAGACGAGCTACACTGTATTATTCATTGCTTTCCCAAACTTCATGATTTTATGTAGCTATCTAAGGGTTTCAAAAAATGTACTGTTAATATAGAAATTGACATTTTTAAACCAAATACATCTTGTGAATGGTAAAAAATCCTCTAAATTTCACCTATAACAAAAATCTGGGTATCTTCTCTGTGACTGACAGAAGCGTGACTGCCAGTCTATGTAAATTGTCACTCTAATCATTAAACCACGATCATTTAAAAGGCAAGATGGTAAAGTGTTTTGCCTAATGACACAAAGATTATCATTCATTGACCAGCGCTCGGTTCAAATGACCAATCAGTCGGTGATATACGGTCACAGGATCAGATTCAACTACATATGGACGTTTTTTAGTAAAGAGGAGGAAGTAGATTTGACATTTGCATCAGACTCAAATCACCCTGTCAATCACTCTGTGTTTTACATACAGTTTAAGCCCCATTGAAATATATGGCAGACTCTGTGACAATATATGCTGAATTTGCCTCAAAATCTTGAATATGAGAGTCAATTGATGTCTGTACTCTTCTTGCTTACATAGTCTGCAACAAAGTGAAAGAATAATACAATAAAAAAGGAAATAAAAGCCATAGAATGTAATAATTTACATATTTCCAAGATGGCCATGTATTTGTACCTGTAAAATGAATTACCAAGTTTCAGGTTTGTGAGTGGTAATAATTTGGGCTACAACTAATGATTATTTTGCTAATTGATTAATGTAGCAATTATTCCTCTGATTAATTGATTAGTAGTTTAGATCGCAGAAAGACGAAGGTGAAGTGAAGCTGCTGTAGGACATCCTGGTGGAACATATTTACAGACGAAAGATTGTTCTCCTCACAAACAACAGTTACATGTTTTTGTTTTTGTTTTTATTGACTGTGGGAGCCTAATAGCCTGATTCATGAGCCAATTTCACTTCATAGAAACTATCTGATGTCTGTCGCAGCATTAGGATTTGTTCATTCGACGGTAGGCAGGTACTTTTTTAATTTAACCAATCGCTGCTATTTGGTCGTCATGTATGTAATGCGACGCTAACTTAACCCTGCACTGCTATTACAATATATTAAGCTTTTCCCAAATTCTGTGTCATTACTGAGATAATTATTCTTATTTTGATTGATTTAATTTTTACTTAAAATGCATGATTTTTGGTATTTTGGTAATTCCTTATGGTTAACATGATTATTTGCTGATTATTTATAAAAATACTTAAAAACATTTTTCTTTCAGTTAACTTTAACATTAGCAATAATTAACTTAAGTAATGTTTTTTTATTTTTTTATTATTTTGTGGTCTATGACTCCTTATATAAGGCGAAAGCAGGTGCACCTTGGGAGTGGAGCCAAACTGTTTTTTGACCTCCTGTCACCTACCTGTTAAAGTTCCCCGTTTTGTATGTATATGTATGTCCTTAATTATGTGAATAGTCAAGTAAAGAGTTTTGAACTGCACTTGGATCACTCTCCGTGGATTCTTTCAAGGTCTGCAAAGCTTCAGTTATGTCTTGACAAATGTCTGAACCTTACATTGATGAAGTCTTAGTTTGTTTTCCATACCTGACAGTTTCACATGACCACTCTGAGGAAGACTGCCAGTGAGCAGTCAAAACAGTCAGATTAATTGGAAGAACCTTATTGGACCACTACATTTATACAATACAATTCACTTCCTGTGTCATTTGCATTTCCTGACCTGTGAGTCATAAGATCTCTTCTGGAGCCTATGTATAAACCAGTTAATGATTATTTAGTTACTGAAATATTCAACCACTACTTCAATAATCGATTAGTTGTGATTCATCAATTAACTTGTTGCAGCTCTACTTGTGAATCTGCAGTAGCTCTATGTCTCCCACTGCTGGTCTGTGAATGGAACTGCAGCCTGATCTAAAAAATAACAAAAAGAGTCCAAAGAAGTTACTTAAACAACATTTTAATGACGTTAATCATCAGTCATAGAGTGAATACAAGATTATGAAGAAACAGCCTTTAACAATGTAGCTAGTGACGAACAGTTTGTAAGACAGTTTTAGATATTTATAGAAAGACAAACACGCTGGAAAATTACTTCAATGAACCGTTTTTTCGTTTTGTTTTTTCACATTAGTTACACAAGACCTAAACCAGGACTGTATTCACATAGTGCAAAAACATACGTCAACACTTTGATGGAGGTGACAGAGTCGGGACGCGGCGTACCAAATCTTTAAATACAAATACTGCGATAGGTCTCCCACTGTAGGTGTAACACAGCAGCCCGATACTGCATGTACTCCTATAGCCATAAGTCACTAGCAAATGCCTTTATTACATTGGATTCCAACTGATATATGTTAAAAACTATCAAATGGCTTCTTTAAAAACAGTGATTGTTTTTTTTTTAATACAACAAACTCTTTTTTTACACTCATATTTACAATGTTTTAATGTTAGTTTGGGTCTGACTTTACAGACAGCTGTTCGTTTTCTGTGCGTTTACGGTGTTATTTTTTATTTTATTTTGACAGCCAGTCAGGAACTATGAAATTTTACGCTTTCTTAAGTAAAAGTGTTTTGAAAATATCTGATAATCTTATTAAAGGTGCACTGTGTAACTTTTCTGGTGGAGAGTCCGTTAAATGCTTTTCTCCGTGAAGATGCTATGACGTGTGGAATGTGTTTTTCTAGGTATTTTTGAGCTATAAAACCACCTGTATTTGTAAATTAGAGCTGTTTAATGCCATACTGTGGAACATTCCAGACATATCCATAGAAACAAGCAGGTGACGGATCTCCAAACAAAAAGTTCCACAGTGCAACTTTTAGTAAACAGATAAAGTGCGCACTCTTAAAGTCAAATGTTTTGTAAAACTGTCTTATTAGTTTGGGTCAAATAATTTTGCTTTCAGCCACATGAGGTTAGTAAAAGTACACAATAGAACTTTAATCTTAACTATAATTCACCAAAAAGAGATTATTATTAAATTATCATCCAAATTAGGAGCGTCACATCTCTACAAAAGTGTAAAAATGACGCCGTTAAATTCTGAATAAGTGGATGCCTCCTGGACGTCTGGGAATGCCTCGGGGTTCCGCCAGAGGAGCTGGAGGAAGTTTGTGTGTGTGTGTAAAGGTAAATTTGGGCATCCCTACCTTAGGACTAACAAACAAACTGTAAAACAAATAGGTGTGTTAGTTTCAGAGTAGTTTCAGAGTAGTTAGCTCCTCCCTTCAGACTGATATAAGGCAGTGTCCACCGGCAATCGGACCAGAACTGAAGAAGCTGCTTGGACGAGTAACGAAAAGTCTTCACTCTCTTTTGTTCACTTGACAGAACTGGATTTTTCTTTTGCTATGGGAACTACCTGGACAACTGAGATATTACACAAACACGTTAACTGTTACTGCAACTATGCCTGTGACGTCAGTGCCTCTGTCTGTATATTTTTTTTAGCATTTATTTGTTAACCAAAACATCCAAATGTATTATCTCCAATAAAAAAATGCTGCTAACATAATACAATATAGTAATTTATCAGTTGTTTAAAGGTGCTCTGTTAATTTTGTGTTGGTTTAACAGCTTGGAGATGTTACTTCTTTTATGGGAATGTTCCAGAGTATGGCATTAACCATCAAACAGGCCTTTTAATGCCCCAAAATTTACACTGAAGAAAAAACAAAACAAAAACACGTATTCTTACTGTAACTGGGAACACAAGTCTCCACAGATCTTAGCCTGCTTGTCTTATTGGAAACTTTATAATCATATACTGTGGAACATTCCCGCCAAAGCAACAACATCTGCATGGAAACAAGCAGTGTGTATCAGAAAAGTTACACAGTGCACCTTTACATTAGGTAGTAAGTAAAAAAAACTACACTGGCAGCGTTGTGTTAGGAATGACTTGGAGTAGTAGTGACCGAACAGGGCTGTTTTGTTTAAAGTGCGCATGATGGTTTTGACAATTCTTTAATTTCTACTTAATTGGGTGGACTAATTGTTGTTGTAAATATTAATTATAGTTTAACACCAATGAAGAAGCAATTTGTGAAGAAACGTAAAAACATATGTAGGAATTGGAGAGTTCTAAAACACAATGACTTCTGTCTGAAAGTTCGTCACAATTTACACAAGAAACACATTTTTCTGATACTTTAAACATTATTTCAACAAAATAAAGGTGTTTTCTTATATTTTTGTTTGTCAAATATTCATTTCAGAGAGTTTTAGCCCAGCACATGGTAAGTTATGGAATTTTCTGGTGAGATGTTAAGATTTCCAACCAGCAAATACAAATTGAAACCTAAAAACTGAAAAAAAAAAGAACATTTTTTAGCTAAATCTCAAATATAATGGTCTTAATGAGTAGTCCGTCCTATCATAGGCTCTTTAAAACAAGTACAAATATCAATATAAAGTTTAACTATGAGTCTATGGCGGGTCTGATCGAATCCTGACACGCAGATCAATATGAACAGGTAGTTTTACATGATAGAGCCTCTATAATGGGCTACTTACACTGTGTTCTGTTCTGCTCTTTTCAGCAGACTCTTAAAGATTACACTAAAACACCCATGGGAGACAGATAGTGGTTAAGTGACAGATACAACTCTGACAAGTCAATAATGGGGCAAAGACTGTATAAGAACTGGACAGTGACAAGAATATTTGAACAGTTGTAATTGGCAAAAACGGCTAAATGATTAAAGTAACAATTTTGTCAGCAAACAACAAAAAAATATTCTGTAAAAAGTGTTTACCCTGTAGTTTAGAGCTCTGCAAACAAGTCCTAAATCAGTGTTATTTTATTAGTTTAGCAGTTAGTCTTCACTTCTTCTCTCAAATGTTCACGCTCTGAATTTGCTAATCCACGAGTAATCACAATACCGATCAAAAAAACAAAAAGCAAATATATGAATAATGTAGAAAATTGGCTTAAAATAAATGGCAGGTTGTTTCTTCATTATAAGCAACCAATTAGAAATGTCTTTTTATCAAAAAATGACAAAGAATTGTTGAGATACATCTTACATCTTTAATGTCTCACTCTCTTTTTAAATTTTATGATGATTATTTATGTTTTGATTTGTTTGTATTGTCATTTTAATGCATTTTTTATTCTGTAAATCACTTTGAATTACTTTGTGTACAAATTGTGCTATAAAAATAAACTTGCCTTGCCGTGCCTGATTGTACGTTAATTTATATAATATGTATTTTTTGTTTAACTCGCTAGGTGGTTGTTGTTGTTGGAGATCTTAAATAATCAGGATAAATCTGGTGAAGATATGTTCAGGAGACCTCTGTATTTTTGTCTTTGATGCAACAATCCAGGAAAAATTCAAACCTAGAGATTTCTGAGGCTCAGAGCAAAAGGACCTCAACATATTAAAGGATTTGTGAAGCAAGATAAATCCAACTCCAGATGTGTTTTTGATGAGAGAACAAAGCAATTTAATAAAATACATGAAAAGAACTTTGCTAAACTAGTTGAGAATAAGTGCAGGGTTTAAATACAGCTGTTATATTGATGATACACTGCCATCATGTTGTATGTTTTTAATAAGATCTTTAGTGTCAGGGCTCACTTGTCACTCTGTCCATTTTTATACAGTCTTTGTTTGTAATTTCTCAGTAAAACTTCAAACAATCCAATGCGGATTTGGTTAAACTTAAGCGCTTTTCCTTCATGAAGCCATAAGTCAGAAAGCAACACGCACAAACACATAATATGTACAGTATAAAGCTAATAATCACAGCAAATAAAATGCAAGAAACTATGTATGCGCCTGCGATGTTAGCTTAATTTAGCACGAATATCGCAGAGCTGTAAACGGTCTCAACGAGTCCAGTTCTCCTCAGATTCTCCTCTAAGTCTGGATTAAAACACAGGTTATACCATAGAAGCCAATATCTTGTCCTAACATAATGTCTGCCTCACAAAGAGTTCATTTTCAGAGTAGAAAAGCTCTGATTTCAAGTGTCTCAGGCTCATTTGGGAGACTACACGAGCGTTCAGTGCAGCTAAGAATTCGGACAGGTGGTCTACTTTTACTGGTGTTGGTAAGAGGCTGTTGATACCTGAGTTTAGGTTAGAGATGAGAGGAGGAAAAACTGCTGGTTCCGATGAGAAAGGTGAGAGAGACAGACAGAGCAGGTCCGGTCCACATGAACACACGACTAAGATTCACTGTTAAAATCTACGTTAATAATGATCTACAGGATTGTACGCAATAAAAAAGTGCAAGAACGATGCAAATATGTTTTTTCTTAACACTTAATAATAACTACAACGTAATTAATAAAGCATGAAGATAGATTTCAAGGTGCTGTACTGGATTTTTACTGTCTTAAAAACGTGAAAAACGGTTAAATTCCAACTTTATACGCACTTTTCACAACTCTCGAGACCAGTTCGGAGTTTTGTAGTAACGGTAAAGCAACTAGCAGGCTAACGTGCACTTCCTTTAATTAGATAAGGACAGCACACGGACGACTTATTTTGAAGAATTTTGTTCTAATACATGAGAAAAAAGTGGGTACAGGTTTCAGGTAGTAATTAATTAAGGAGTTAATGATGTGGTATTAAGTAGATACTAAGCCTGAATAATTCTTAATAAACCATTTCTATGTTTTTTTTTTCATGCTTTATTAAGTGTAATTAAATGTAGTTATTAAAAAATGTTTCTTTCTTTTTCTGAAATTGAGCAAGTGCTTGTTATTCATAGTAAGACTTGAGTAAAACATAAATAACGTTGTTGGTTTGACTCCCATTACCAACAAATTCCTCTGTTGCTGTGCCTTTGGGCAAGACACTTAAAGACCACCATTATAATATATTTTATTTTTTTTTATGTTTTTAATGTGATACCTCAAAGTCGACACGGTCATTCCATATATTTTCAAATACGGTCTGTGAGACTTGGTGAATGGTGGTTATTAGAAGAGGTTGTTGCTGCAGAATGGCAGCCACGTCTCTCTCAGTCCGCCCCAGGGCAGCTGAAGCTCTTCGGTCACAAAGGACTTGATATAAAGCACTTCAAGTTGTCAAGCTTGGTAAAGATACACGCTGCAACTTTTCTGGTGAAGGGTTTGCCAACAGCTGGTCTCCATGGAGAGTTTCAACGATACAGCATTAAATTTGGCTGTTTCCACAAGCAGGTAACAGCATCTGGGTTAGTTTCAGGTCAGATCTGTGGAGTGACGACCCTCACCTTAACAGTAAGAATGCATATTTTTCAAAGTACTGTTTTTTTTGCAAGTAAAAACACTTCTACCTGAAAAAAATGCAAGTTTAATAAGTTTAATAACATCACCATGGAGACCAGCAGACCCTCCATCAGAAAAGTTACACAGTGCACCTTTAAGCATATTACAAATCTATGAAGCCGAGTATAAATAAGGTAACCAATGTGTTTAATCTTTAATATTTTTTACACTGTTATCAGAGTTAAAAATAGTTTAAGTTAGTATAAACTGATCTACATTAGCCGTGTGTGTTCATGTGGACAGTTACAGAAGCATCAGCCTGTGACCTTCTTCGCCTCCTGCTCGGGTGCATCCTTCTCAGAGACTTCGGCCGAGTCCAAATCTTCTTCATCGCTGTGTCCTTGCTCCTCCTCATCTTCCTCCTCCTTGTCCTCCTCCTCGGTACTGTCCTCGCTCTTTCCCAGCTGCAGGTTTTCTTGGAGCCAGATCTCAATGCGGCTGGAGATGGTGGGCACCTCCACGGAGATGGGTTCTGGGGTGTAGTCTTCCTCTTCCTCATCCTCTTCCTCGGCTTCTTCGAGCATCCCGGGCACCAGTGTGGAGGTGGTGGAGGTGATGGAGGAGTTCAGGGGGCCCCTGCAGCTGCCGTCCAGAGACCCCGTTTCAGTGCTCTGCTGAGAGGCCAGCTCCAGGCGGTCGTCCACGCGAACCTGAACAGACACAGTGCAAGAGTCAGACTTTTATTTACAACTACAATTTTTCAACATGAAATATGGTTGTCGAAAATCAGATATCAATACTAAAACCAACCACTAAACTACCATAGTATCAAAACTCAGCTGATACAAAAAAAGCCACATTCACAGGACAGAAATTAACCTTTCCTCAATAGCTTTAGAATGATCTTGATCCGTTTACACAGATATAAACGCACATGGTAATATCAAAGAAAGTTCTACGATATAATGTTGAAAATCTCATCGTATTGTCTAAAGAGTAAGTTTTTTATTATCATGATGGTATCAGAATCGGTTTGAAATTTTAGTATTGTGACAACAAAGAACATCTCAATATGGATGGAAATGTTTCATTTAAAGAGTTGCTATGATTAATCCGAAAAATTCTGATTACAGTAATCGAATACTAAAATAATATATGACAATTTTAATCATCTTTAGTCATTAAGTGAGCATTGGGACAGTTTTTGTCTGTATAGGGCAACAACTCACAAAAATGTAAGTGATTTTTATGTTCATTTTATTTATTTAAGCCTTATTTGTTTTGTTTTTTAATTTTGTCCTGATACCATATTATATATATACCAGTGATAAATATTGTCTCTGATTAAGATTGTAGAAGAGTAAGTGTTTATAGTAATTGCCATGAGAGGCTTTTATGATGAAAGGTGATTAATGTGATGTGTAAACTGTAGACGACATACCTCCTCCTTGTCTGCAGGGGTCAGTGCTGAGTGTGAGGCAGTAGACAGAGTGGGGGCTGGGGGGTTGTTGGTGGGCGTCTGTGTTTCCTGTGGCTCTTTCTGAGCGGAGACGAGGGGCGTTGGGCGTGGGGGCTCGGGCTCGGCCGGCTCCAGGTTATCTGAAGACTCCACCATGTTCCTCCAGTTGGTCTCTGAAGACAAAGAGAAAACAGATGGATTAAACATACAAAAAATACAGAAAGTAGCAGTAATAGAGTGATAAAAAATATTGATAATAAAGTAAGAGGGAATTTCATCTAACTTTAAGCCCAAAATAACCCAAATGTGTGAATGAAACAAAACTCTGAGTGTGCATTTGAGGAGATAGTAGCATTATAACATGGCTTAAAGATAACAAAAGTCAGTTGTGTGTAATAAAGGTAATATTAAATAACAAAATTACAATTACCTCTGTGGCCCATTACCAATCAGAAAGTAAAAACGTATACTACAAAAATGAGTGAAAACAAGATCAATATATTTAACATGTTAACCATGTTTTAGTGGAAATACACACTTCATGAGGTTTATGCAATATTTTGAGGGTGTTTTTCCATTCAAAAGATACATTTGTTTTAAATTGTTAATAAGTATGGCAACATCCTAGTCTTACATCATTCTGAAACCCATGGATTTGTCTAGTCTTAAATAGAGTTCACATCGTGTTAGATTTAACATGACGCACTTTGACAAATTTGCTTTACTTTATTACTACTATAAATAAACACTAAATAAATAGATTGCAGTTGCGAATTTACTCCTGTGTTTAGTGACTCAGGGAGCAGTGCTTACTCAAAAGGGCAAAAGGGACATGACCTATTTTTAGGACAGACGAATGACTCAGCTCCACCTAATCATCTAATTCATTTTACAGCTGCCTATTATGTAACTTAAAACATCCGATGTGAATAAAACCTGACAATACATTTCCCTAGTCTAATGAAATATGCCCTTTTTAACCTATCTGCCTTACATTTCCAGCACAGTCTAATATTTTGTTTGTGTTGACTAACTGATTAAAAGGAAAGGCATAAAGCTTTATTTTGTGTTGCAGATGTCTAAAAATAATTTCCATCTATGTTATTTTGCTTTTTATACTTTTATTATGCAGAGCAGAGCACGATATAGGCTGTAATTTGCTGCTCTACATTCTAAAATATCAGTGTTAAAAAGGAAAAGGTCCTGATTTTCCCGTGTATTTAAACAAGATGAGTCTTGCCCCAGTACAGATATACAGAGACATATTGTATAAGCAGCTCTTGAGGTCAAAAGAAGTCTGCTTCGTGCTCTCTGCATCTAATTATAAAGTGGTTTATTCTCCATTTGATAATCAGGAAGTGTGTGTTAGCATGTTAGTTGATAGTTTTATCATTACAGCAAAACTCCTGCATGAGGTAAATGAGGAATAACTGTTTAGTGTAGGGAAAATGTTGGACCAACTTTAAAACAAACTAGTTCTGATTTTCACGTTTTTTAAGACAGTAAAAATCAGATACAGCGCCTTAAATCTTGAGTCTAGACCTGCTCGAAGGACCTACCATACTCCTTCTCGTTGACCTCGGAGATGGGCTCGGAGAAGGTGGAGCAGAAGGAGATGGCGGAGGCGGCAGACGGGTTTCGGGAGTGTCCCATGAAGTGTGGTCCTCTCTTCTCCCCTCGCTCCTGCTTCAGCGCCTCCTCGGCCTTCTCCTGCTCCAGAGCTGACACCATGTCTTTGTACGCCTTCCTCGCCTCCTCTGTCAGCGCCACCAGTTGATTGAACAAGGCCTGGACAGAGATGGAGTGACATGTTAAATCTAAGCCAATAGCGAATTCAAACAGATAGAAGGATTGTCTACAAACTCATTGGATATACCAGACATTAGGGACGTAACAATATCCGAATCTCTCGATACGATATTTTCACGATATGCATCTAAAAGTACGATATTTATTCCAATATTTGTAGAGGCTACTTGTCCTTTTAAAAGCCTTGATACTGTTATAATGCTAATGTTGTAATGTGGAGAATTAAGATTTAAAAGTAAGTCTGCACTGACAACACCAAAGGATCATGGTCTATGTAGTTCCCTCTGTTTTTTCTACCTACTGCTGAACTAGAACAGTGAATTTAACAGGCAGACTTGTAATTTGATATATATAAAATTTTGGTGAAACAATATCACGATATTTCGACTATTGTTACATTGCTACCAGACACAGAAGCTGGTGGAAGCATAGAGGATGGTGGAAGTGTGAGTTGAATATTTACCCACTAACCCTGAAGAAACTGGTTGAAGCCTTGACAAGTTTTGAAACACTTGGGTAACCAACCAGTACACTCAAAAGCATTAAATACTAAATTTCCATTGTTTACGGCAGAAAGACTAAAGTCATGGCAAGAGAAGATGTTCAATAAAACTTAAAACTTGTTTTTTGTTAATACAGTGACAGTAGGTTTCAAGACGGTGTTTACTCTGGCAGATCTGTTTGGTCAGCAGCAAATTCAGTCACAAGTTTGAAATTTCACCCAAACTATATCAATGTTACTTCTAAGCATGGTACAAGATCTTGCAAGATAAAATTACAAGATTGTGTACACATGTGACAAAGCACTTCAGAGATTTTTTACGTGTTTACATTGGGCCTGCACCAAAAAAACACTAAAGAAAAACACTTTTAAAATGAACTTATAGTATTTTATATCTGATTTATATCTGTTCTGATCTCAAGATTATTCTAAAGCTAATCAGGAAAGGTTCATTTCTGTCCTGTGAATATGACTTTAGTATCAACATCAGCTCAAATAAATATCCAGTTTCAATATTAGTTTTGGTATCGATTAGTATCTGATTTTCAATACTTCTGACAAAACTAGTCTCATCCCATTCCTACTCATTTCCCTGTCCAAGTCTCACCTCTGCTCCAGAATAGTTGAAGATGCCGACGACACTGACCGCCACCAGTTTGTTGACACAGCGCCCCAAAGCCTTCCTGCCCAGAGCGAAGACAAAGGGGATCTCCTGCTCTCGGGCCATAGCGATCACATTGCACAGAGCCTCGTCCAGACCTCCTTTGGCCTGGATTTTTTCACAGTTTGGAGAAATTATCACACATTTGATCTTCTGGAGCTTCATGTGCTTGGTGACCTCGCGCAGCCCCATCACCACGCGGCGTTTGGACTTGGCCTTGGTCGGGTCCTTTTGATAAACCCGCTCCTGGAAGTGAACCAGCTCCTGTAGCAGTAACGTCACGCTCTCATCGATCTCTTTGCTCAGCACCTGATTACAGTACCTGGAAAACACAAAGAATATACAGTTTAAATTTAAGATGCACTATGTACCAAAACAAGCACCCAAGCTGACCCCATATTCACAAATCATTCATAAATTAAAAGGTGCACCATGAAACTTTCCTGGAAGAGGGTCCACTACCCGATTTTCAAAACGAAGATGTCCTTGGCATGGCATTTATTACCTCCACCAAGGAGGTTATGTTTTTGCCGGCGTTTGTCTGTTTGTTTGTTTGTCTGTTAGCAACATAACTCAAAAAGTTATGGACTGATTTTGATGAAATTTTCAGGATTTGTTGGAAATGTGAAAAGGAAGAACTGATTTCATTTTGGGGGTGATCCGGAAGAAATCCTGGATTCTGGATCACTTTGAAATTTTAGTTAACATTGTGGTAAATGGGACCAAAAATTTAGTTTCTCAATATCTCGGTTAATTATTGACCAAACCCCATGAAATTTGTCTCAGGGATGGACAATGGGATCCTCTTTCATATTCCAAAGGCTGATCCGGATCTGATCCAGAAGACTGATTTTATCGCAATTTATATAAAAAATGGGGGTAGTCCTTGGCGGAGGTCTGCGCTCTCTGAGTGCTTTTCTAGTTGTTTCTATTCTATGGCCTTTCCTCTCCACAGATCTGATCTGTAACCTGGCCTGATGTGGTGTCACCTGCTTGTCTTCATGAAAATAGACACGTTCTGTGCCATACTGTGGAACAATCCATGCACAATAATAACATCTCTGTGGAGACGAGCACACGGCAGATGCTCAACAATAAAAGTTGCATAATTATTAACTTCTTTAGCCTTGAATTATTTATGATTAGGGCTGGGTATCATTCAGAAGTTGCGGATATGATACATACGTCAACACTTATGCCACAATACAAGACTTATCTCGATACTTCTGCCACGATACAAGACATAGCTTGATACTTGTGCCACGATACGATACATATCTCAATTCTTATCTCAATACTTATGCCATGATATGATACATCTCAATACAGTGAGCTTACAATTCGATACAATTCAATAATATATTTCAATTCGATTTGATATAGTTCAATAAAAAATAATGCCTAAATCATGACTGTGATACTAAAAGTCTTTGTTAAACCACTTCTTGTGCAAAGTTAATACGAAACACAAACATTTTAATCATCAAAACAGTGAAAATGTCAAATGTGTTGCATTAATGAGTTTCCTTCCTCTAAACAAACAACAAAACTGTAGCTCTGTAACAAAATAATTTAGTAAAATATACCCAAGAATGCTCTTGGCGATTTATCGATACAGCAGCCCATGATACCGATACTGTATCGTCACTTTAAACGATATATTGATATTTCTATATTTTTGCATGCCCCTATTTATGATCATTTTAAACAAGTAACGTAAGTAAAGTATTTTTCTAATGTGAACTCTTAATAATAATTAACATGCTATATATTATAATTAATATTTTATACTAATATTCTTCACACAGTATGGCTGAAGCTAATTTTTTTCATTTATTCTGATTCAGATAGTAGCTGAAAACACTACAGTAAGCCCATGAGAGCTTCGGGGCTGGTCTGGGCAATCATGAGGTGGTCGACGTGGCGTGGTGTGAGACAGACTTGGAGTGGTCAGACGGGGGGCGGGGCTTAGACGGCGGCTTTGGGAGAACAATAGACCCACAGCCCGACCCACGCGGACAAAGAGCTGAGTGTGCCCAATGGAAAACACTTCAGCTCGGAGGAGAATATGACCTATGACCCCCAAGTCTGCATTGTACGAAACTCCTAAAACATCCCACGCAACATCTGAAGTGTAGGTGGACAAAACTATTTATAGACCCTTTAAAAGTTTGGAAATAAATAAGATGCATTCATGTATCTATTGATGTTACTTCAGGGCCTTTTCATGAGTCCTAATTCAGAATACTGAAAAAGTAGGAGTGTTACCATAGTGATTAAAAATTTAAAAGTCTGGAAATAGATAAGTCCATATTCTATGATTTGTTGTCATAATTTCAGAGAGAAGAAGCCTATCCAACAGTTCAGAATGATGAAAAATTAGGACTGATGCCACAGAGAATTATAATTTGATGTAATGATATTAAAGTAGGGCGTATCCATGGGTCCATAGTAATGAAACAAATCATACCATCTTTTTGTAGATCAGAAGTTTGGACATTGCTTCTAAATGTTGACTCTTATAATTATTTGTTTGGGATTGCCTCCAAATTGCCACCAAATTGCCATATTAATCTGTCAGTCAAAGCTCTTTCAGCTGACAACTATCAAGAAGATATTGAACTTTGTGCCAGTTTTTTGCTTCATGTGGATTGGCCTAGTAATTACAGAGATATTAACCATAAAACAGATTAAACAGAAGTTTTAGAACGGATCCTGTGTATTATTTTGAGTGCAGTTTTGATCAGATACAAGGTCAGATCATAGATACAGAAAAGCTTTTGTCTCGTCCCCTTTTTAGTGGCCTAATTGATTGCTAGGGCATGTTTTTAGTCGACCAAAGCCCTAATGTCATGTGAACTCAGCCTTTTAGTTCAGTTTTTAACCCTTCTCCATCTGAATTCTCCCTCTGTGTGTGTGGCTGCACTCACTCTCTGAATCTGCGGCTGTGGATCTTGGTGATGGCGTTGGAGGCCATGGGGCTGCCGATGCCTGAGCTGGCAGGGCTGCCCTGGGAGACGGGTGTGATGCTGTACGGAGAGTTCTGACTGGCTGGAGACAGAGAGGTGTCGCTGGGCACGCTCAGACCGCTCTCTAGAACAACAAAGACAGCATAAATAAATAAAAATACACAGACATAAGTAACTACATAAAGGAACGTTAATTTATAGCGACAGAAGGAGACACAATTCCCATAAGATGAGAAGAGACATGACTGGATCCATAAGAACGAGACAAGATAAGATTTTGGCACAATATGTAAAAAAATGTATTGATTGTAATAGTGTATTTGCAAAAATACCAGGTTTATAAATGTCATCCTTTACCTTCTTGTGAGGCAGGCTCCTGTGTGAGGTCATCAGTGAAGTTCAGACACTCGTCACTGTGTTCCTCTAAACTCAAAGACTCGGGTTCAGACGGTTTCTTTCCTTTCTTCCCCTCACGCTCCTTCAAAATGATCTAAGAGGACGACATTTGTGTGGAAAATAATAAATCAATAAAAGTACGAGTACAATACAAACATGAGTTAGAGCAAAACTGGTGACAATTTTAACAACAAATAAAAATAGTAATTCTCTTCGGGTTTAAAAAATGTTTTAATTCCCTGAATCAAAAGTCTTTAGTCAAGATGTAGTTATTTCCTTCAGTTTTAATGAAGTTTATAGTAATAAAATTGCACACTAAATATATAATACATTCAGTCATCCAAAAATATACTTGATCTGATTTATGAACCTGGAAATATCTTTACATTACACATAAACATATGTTCTGTGCCCATAAATATATTTTTTTACTTTTTAGTTTAATTGCTCTCCTTGAATATATTCTATGACAAAATCTTTATAAAAATCAATATTATTCACCATATTTCACTGTAAAAAGTAGATTCACACAATTAATGAGCAATCCCAAATACTGCATAATGTCTGATACCTTTTTCAGAGCAGTGGGCCTCTTGACTTTGGGGATCTCTCTCTCTTTCCCTCTCTTGACTCTCGGTGCGGTGGAGTCCAGAGGATTGTGGGGAGTGCAGTTCTGTTGGGTTTTCAACATGGCCGAACCAAAGCTCAGACTCATGCCGTGATAGGGGAGGGTGGCGCCAACTACAGATGAAATACACACAAACAACAGTATTGGCTTATTTGAAAACCCTATACAGCTGCATTTTGCGACTATTGTGTTATTAACCTACAATTGCTCTCAAAAACATTTAGACATTTAGACATTATTATTCATTTTCGGCTGTGTGAATGGCTTTAGAAATGCTACAAAGTGCTGCAAAGTGAAACTAGTGTGGACCAAGCACAACCAGTCAGGGTGCTGCTAACTTCTGGGTTGACACAAAGCACAATATTTACAAATTCTGAAAAAAAAAAGTGGGCTACCCAAGCTTTAAAAGGCCCATATGATGCTATTTTCTGATCTATGTTGTTTCCTCATCAGAAACATACCTGGAGTTGTGTTTTGTGTCATTCACACAGGTTTAACACACAAGTCCTGCATATTTAGGTTTTATCCATTAGAATATGAATCATAAATCATCATTATAATCATACATTTTCATTTTGTGATTGTAATTCTTGATGTCATAACTTTTCAATTTATATTCTGATGGATAAAATATGCACAATCCATTTTATGTACGACTGGAATATTTATTTTTTGCTCAACTACAGCCAAATATGCATGGATTTCCCAAATATGAACAGATGTCTATCCTATGAACACAAATATTTCTGAAAGCTTTCTTACTCCATACATTTTGAGCTTTGGAGATGTAGACACTTTTGATGAGGTAACAAATTAGAATATTCTAACTTATCCTAAAACTCAAGAGTCAATTCTGTGTAATGTAGGACCTTTAAATAGCACATATAGTACCTGTAAAAGACAGTGGTTTTGTGTTGGTGATTTGCCGAGCTTTCATGGCCTGTTGATGTTTGGCCAGAGCGGTCAGGATGTCGTCCATGTCCAACTGGACCTGTGTTTTACTCCTTTTTCCTGTGGCTTTGGTCACAGCCTCCTGACAACACAAGAGGAAATGAACAAGATAAGAGGACAAACAATCAGAACAGAAACAGAAATGCACAATATTATGAAGCTGACTGAATATAATACAGAGCAAACTCTTTTGGGAAAATTGTGAAAGGTTTAAAGGGACAGTGCGAAATTTTGGACATAGGCTTCATTTCCTAGTGAGCCGGAGTGTTGGAGACGTGTGGAGACACTTTTTAAAATATTACATCCAGTCCTTGTATTTGCAGAGGTCGCTGGTGCTAGGCTAGTGCACGTCAATGGCCATAGTTATCCTGCCGCTAAAAACAGTCTTACCCACTCCACAAAACACCCGAAGCAAATTTATTATTACACCAGACTGACTATGTGAATGTCTGTGTTGATATATAATAAAAAAAAACTAATTCATTCATTTAATAACAATCACATATTTGGGGAATCCATCAAAAGTCTATTCAAATGTACCTTTAAATGTCTTGATTAGTATCGCACAAAAATAAAATGAACTGTCAAATGAATGACTATGTGGAGAAATGTAATCATACCCTTGTTTGAAATCTAAAATTGCAGGTTGATTTTGGAGCTTTTTGACAAATTTCTTATTCTTATAACCAGTTTAAATTGTTGCTAGATTGGATATCAACTTCCAAATGTTGTTTCAGCTGATATCCTGGTTGGACATACTATCAATCAATGTAATAAGAGAATTTACTGGTCGTAGTCTGCCAAGAAAGTCTCATAATATTTGAACTTATTAACACAAAGCTGTTCTGCAATTACTCAAGAGAAAAATAACAGCTACATTACACATTTTGATCAGTTTTTGAATTTTATTTTAGTTTAAAGAAATAAATGGTGCTCAGTCTTCAGTATCAGGTATCGGCAAATACTCAAAGCTAATGGAATCAGTGTCGGATCTGAAAAGGCTGGACAGGTCAAAGTTTTTTGCATTGTTCATTGTCCCTGATAAATAAGCAAATAAACTAAACATTACATTAGCATTAGTTATTTTTAGAATACCAAAATATTATTTATTGTTACTTATTAGAAGCAGGTTTGTGTGACATGTTCCCAGACTCCATCACCCTGCTCCATGTGTGAACAAACCCCAAAATGGAAACTGTTGGCAGAGATAATTTGCACCGGGCCAAAGTGTGATTCATCTCCACAGAGGAAGAACAGTGTGTTTTGTGAAGTGTTAATGACGTCTCAAACAGCTCCAGTGTTCTACCTGCAGTTTCTTCTGCTCCATGCTGATCTCGGAGTACTCCTGAGCCGTGGCCAGGGCAGCAGCCAGGGCCTTCTTCCTCTGGCTCTTGGCGCGTTTGGGGACAGAGGTGGTGATGGGGATTGGCGTCTGTACTATGCTGATGGGGGAGTTTTCTGGCAAATTATCCAGCTGTGAAGAATGAAGATTATTTTAGCCTACATTGAAATTATAGTGGTCATTTTCAGATTATAGAGTGATGCAGAAAACTACATCAATATTAAGCTCTGTGTGCACAACAGCATGCTAGACAGTTCACTGTGTTTTAAAGCTAAAGCATTTTTTAATTAAAATGTTATAACAACCTATTGTTATATAAACAATATAAATGACCTATTATTATTACTATGTTATTTTAATATGTATTATGACTCAAAATAAACATTAAGACTTAGCATTAAGGTACAATCCTCTACCTTTCTAAAAACATGGTGAAGTATACATTTTATTTGTGTAGTTTTTAAAGGTGCATTGCGTAACTTTTCAGATGAACGGCCCACTACTCTTTTATCTCCATAAAGATATTATTTCTTTGCCCAGAATTCTCCACGGTATGGCATTAAACCATAACGTTTCCATGGTTGGTGCCATCAGTGAAGATGTTTTCAAGGTATTTTTGACTGATAGAAACATCCATAATGGAAAAAAAAGTTCTAGAAACAGATGTAATGCCTTACTGTTGAACATTACAGGCAAAGCGATAACATCACCATGGAGAAAAACAGATGGCTTCATAAAAATGAAATTAGACAGGAAGTAGTGAATGAAATTGCTTGGTGCTATTGTGCAGAGAATGTTTATGCATTATTTGTTTGTTTTTCTCAATTGATTCTCAATCACTCACGAAATACAATAATCTGTAATTACAGAATTTGATAACATCAACCATGCTGTGTTTTGATTCTGCATAATACAGTAGTAGTCTGGCAACAGTTAAATCACATTCTGTATCACTGCTCTGTGGTCAACACCATAGCAATGGGTAAAAACAAAACAAAAACAAGATAAATAAATAGATACTTTATTGATCCTGAAGGAACTTCAAAGTTCGGCAGCAGTAACTGTTTTCACTCTAAAATGTAAGGACTAGCTTCACTAGCTCCTGTCGGCGTTTACAGGTCACTTGAGACATTTAAATTTGTAGCCCTGGTATAAGTGTATTAAACAACTAGAGCGGTGCAGTCTGCAGTTTTAAAACTTAAGCATAGTCATGAATTAAAGATGAGTATGAAGTAGACACATCTGTCCTAAAACACGTGTGCAGGACCCAAAAGAAGAAACATTTCTGTAATCATATATTAGCTTAAATTTTAAGTATAATACTGTAGTTAAACAACTTGGAGACATGTATTCTATAGTTTAATAAATGTTTAAATACCCAACACAATAAAATATTAAAATCACAAGTCAGTCAGTAATAACGTGTGGTCTCACCAGGGCTTTGGGGAGGACTTTGGGCGGGGTCTGCGCCTGCACTGAAGGAGGATCTGGTTTAGAGTTGAGAGGAGCTCCTGCCGATGCCAGATCTGGAAACTCATCTTCATCCTGAAAAAGTGGAAGAACATTTGGGATGTCATAGATTTATTAGAGATGTACTTTATTCCAATATCACATATAACAGCATCATCACAATAACCAAGTCCACCTTCACATATTGCTCTATTACTTCAAAATAAGTTTCAATTGAAAATAGTTAATTCTGTGTTGGAAATAATTCATCACACAGATAAAAATGAAAAAAGATGTCAACATTACCATACTGAATATCCTTTTAGACTCCTAAATAGGATTTTTTTGTGTGTGCGTAGGTGTGTGAGCATATGTGCTAAAATTATAATAAAATAATGTTTCCACCATTAACATTACCATTAGTGATCTAACACAAGCATTATGAAATGAAACACCCACGCAAACCATTTAAATGTTTCATATCAGCTAATACACTTAGTTATAAAAATACAGTTGCATCGGCTAGTTACATAATTGTTGTATTTTTCTCACCTGAAAGTACAGGGGCTCTGGAGTGAGCTCAGACCCAGCGGCCACAGCAGACTGCAGCCTCTGCTCTGTCTGGAGGGGCTGAGGTCTCTGCTGAAAACCACTGTGGAAATCCTGAAACAAACAAAAACACACACGCTATAAAAACAACCTCAAGTTTTTACACTTTGTGTCGCTTAGTTTATGCAGTCGTCAATCCACAATGGTAATTACGTAGACTTTAATTATGTTGATTGATATGTGGAACAGTTTACATAAGAGCCTTTTATATTTTGTTATCACACATACAAACAGCTTCTACACAGAGGCAATCACAGACTTTTAAAGCGCCTATATTACACAATTTTCTGAACTATGTCAATGTAGTGTCTTCATCAAAAACATAACCAAAGTTGTGTTTTGCTTCATTCACAAATCTAACACACAAGCTGCATATAAAACATAAAAATTGGTCTTGTACCTGTGAGAAGTTCCTCTGTTCAGGCTTCTTCTGGTCCACTCGTAGAAAAGGCCCATTTCTGTCGCTCCAAGACTTCTGTGTCCCCTGAGAGGCCAAACCGGGGCCCCATGTCCCACCTGAGGATTCAATAAAATGAAAATGGGTTTGTTGATGAGGTTTGCAATTCATATTTTTTGTGTATTGTATTTTGTATTTGACGAGATAACGATTTTTGTTTCTTTGTTCTATTAAAAAAAGACAATGTACCTGTTTTTAAAGTACGGTAATTAATTAAAATGTGCCTCACCCAAGTGCAGATATATTGTATAAGCAGCTCTAAGAGGCAAAATGAAATTATTGTGGTGTGTCTGTATCTAATTATAACACATTTGTATCTTCCATGCACTGTTTGCATGATAGTTGTTCTTCTAATACCGCGACAGCCTATGAAAGTTGTGTACACAGTAAGATCAAACTTCCTGAATAAAATAAGTCCTAACTTTTCTTCACCTGTCATCACACCTGCCTCCACCCCCTGTCCTGTAGTTCCGGTGGTGGTCTCTGGGGTGCGCTGTGTGGCCCCCTGCTGGTTGTGTTTGGGACTGCAGTATCCGCTGTCGCTGTCGATGTCGGCCTCGCTTGTGCCTGGTTCGCTGTAGCTCTCTGCGGTTTGGGGCTGTCGTCTTCGCTTCGTTCGGTTCTTCCACGACAAAGGACTCACGCGATCGGCTGAACATCGGCCAGACAAGTCACCAGGGAAGTCTAAACATGGGACAGGAAAGAAATATGGTGTAAATGACATGCATATTAAGTAGGGCTGGTTTATATTAAGATACTAAATTCAGTGAAACCGTATCAATATTGTGGGCTGCAGCATCGATATATAGCCATAAGTATTTTTTGTTTTAGAGAAAGGAAACTTGTTTATGTAATACTTTTGATACATTCACTGTTTTGGCGATTAAAATTGTAAAATGTAATTGGTTCTTAAAAGTACACTGCATAAAATTTCTAGTTGATGGTCCGCCGGGTGCTTGTCTCCATGGAAGTGTTATTGCTTTGTCTAGAATGTTCCACAGTATAGATTAAACCTCACAATTTGCATGTGGAGAGTAGCTCCTATTTACAGTAATTATTGTATTGTAAATCATGAATAAATGCTAAATGGATCCTGTACCAGAAAATCTGCACAGTGCATTTTACTGCAAGAAATAGTGATTATGCAAAATATAATTTGCAATATACTGATTCAGAATTGTGCATTGTATCAAATCATGAGGGACCTTGTGATTCCCCGCTCTATAATATCTACAATATGCGCTATTCGGATGAAATTGCCATTATGGATGTCAAGATTATTCAGTTAATCAGTAACTGTAATAAGTCAGGTGGTTGAGGAGATCTTAGAAGCAAAATAATCCATTTCAAATCAATCTATAAACAAAAACAGCCAAAATGTACAAAGCTTTTATTTTTATTGTATGAGGTTTTACTTTCAAGACTCCTACAATACCTTACATTAATTATGTTAATGTCTCATTTGTTGTACTGCTTTTTTCCACGTTGCATAACACATTACACAGCAGTTATGTTAAAGGAGACTGCTACATTCTTTTAAATAATAAGGTAAGTAATGCGTCTTTGAATAAGGCAGACAGGAGTGACTGATGTGTCTGGCAAATATTCCTAAATTAATTCTAGGTAAATATTGAACAGGCCTTACTTGTAATTTTAATTTACTCTGTCCATATAAGACCTGGGCATTGTACAGCTCCAGGGCCACATACGGCCTTTTGGTTGACTCTGACCGGCCCATTTAAGCTCATTTGGAATTACAAAATAAACATATTTTATAATTTTACCTCATGCGTGGACTAAAGCTGCTTTTATTTTAGAAGTGTTTCTTTAAATTTATTTTTTTGTAAGACAACCTCACTTTTTCATTGCTTAGTCATAACATAAACTCTTACCAGTCTGACCAGCTTGTCAAAACACTGTTATTTACTGCTTTTTATAAAAGGAATACAATTATTACTACCCAGAATTGAGTGAAGCATTTTGGCCCGGCCCTCCACAGTATTTTCTATTTCTCATGTGGCCCCATAGAAAAAAATAATTGCCCGGCCCTGGTCCATATGGTACTAGCGTTAAAGGGAAAATATTACATAATTTTCTGAACTATGTAATAATGTTGTTTCCTCATCAGAAACATCTCAACAGAATGTTGCGCTCTCTGGAAAATGTAAAAATGGGCATGGTACAAACCCAAGGCACACAGACTAAATATATTAAAATATACTAAAATACAATATAATTTTTTAAATAGTTCTAGTATAGTAATTGTAGCTCCACATTTAAATATCTATTAGTTAAAAAATGTTAACCATAATTTTAAAAGGGACCTGAGAAAGACATCAGGAATACATTTAAAATTCACCTGTTACCTACATTACCACTACAGAACCCTTTGTACCAGTAACTGTATTAACTCCAGCTCTGAGTACATGCTGAAGGTCATATGTTACACTTGTTTACTCTTATTTACATGCCTCTCTTCTGCACAGAGACCTCATGGTGTTCAGAGACTGGAAACTCAACATTCTTCCTTGTGAAGTCAACCCGCTGGACCAGAGTGAACTTACCGTCATTGTCTCCTGCTTCCTCTCATAGTAAAAAGTCATGCGCACAAGCTAATTTTAAAACACATGAGAATTTTTAGTACTGGTTATCTTTTAAGGCTGCAAAGAATTATTATTTTGATAGCTGACTAGTCAGTAAGTACTATTTTGATTAGTGGACTAGACAAAATATTGTTTCTATTGTACAATGACATTTTCTTTAGATACATTTTTAACCAAATAAAGGGTAAAATATGGCAACAAGGTGTATGAATACAGAATACTTAGAAAAACTAACTGGATTATCAGAAATTGTATTCTTTTTGAACATTTTAAATTAATAATGGTAATGTCTTTGGTATAAAGAGTCTGTATAATCCAAATAATGATTACGATGATCAAAATACTATTAGGATTATTTTGTGTAGTCAACTAGTCATGATTAGTTGATTTATTGTTGCAGCCTTATAATCTTTAGATCACAAGAAGGAATAACGTGAAGAATAATAAATCACAGCTAAGGAGCGTGAGGTGAATGCACCTGGGTTGAGCCTAATCTTGTGCATCAATCTTAGTCATTTTCCAAACACTGTTCACATTTTATCATAACAGGAGGCAGTGCATTATGGGTATTTCCGCGTCTCTGGAAGTTTACCGTCAGAAAGTAAGATATTGAGGTCAATGACCGAGAGAAGCTAGTATGATCTTTTATGACACTGTTACATAAGACGGTGTAATATTTTAAGTTTCCCCTTTGTCAAACGCATGAATAAAAATAATTTGGCTAAGTTGGACATGGACGAAGCTCTAAAATCCACAGGTAGCACATGTTTCACAGTCTCTATGACAACTGTAGTATGGAACATTATCAGTCTAAGGGTTGCACCTGTTTGCTGTGCTGCATCCACAAGCATAACTGTCTTGGTCCGTCCATCAGGCCCCACAGTGCAGACCTCCTTCTGCACGGCCACACTGCGAGTGGGGGGTCTGCGGCCCCTCTGAGCACAGGGCCCCAGCTGCTGCTGTAGTACAAACATCTTGGTTACAAACTCTGGGATACTGAACACTATATACACTTCACAATATACAGTACTATACAGTACTATGAAAACTAGAGATCCTTCATTACCTTTGTGAGCACAGCGGGGCGCACCAGGCCCCGCCCTCTCTGATTGGTCAGTCCGTAGGCTGGCAGAGGCAGCGCTCGGTCACTGACGTCTGTGGACACTGGGTTGACCACACCAGCTTGGACAGGACCAGGGTAGGGCCCAGGAAAGGGCTGGTAGAAGCCCATCATGGGGGTGCAGGGAGCGGGCATGATCTGGTAATATGTGTAGTCATTGGACACTGGAGGCTGAGGGGACGACAGGATGGGATAGGCCAGGTACGGCCCACCAGGACTGGGGTTTGGCTGCTGCCAGCGCAGCTCCCCTCCATTGTACATGGGATGTTGCCTGTCAAGAAAAACAATACAATATTTAGAATGAACAAAGTTCTGTCGTGGTCACTTAAACAAAGGGTTTATGTGGCAGTATTTGCAGCTGGCTGTCAAAGTCTAAATTATAGATAGAATACTTTATAGCATTACACTCACATTATTAAAATAACTTGCACTTTTGTCAAATCAGTTTTGAAGTTTAATTTTATTTATTTTTTATAATAAGCTCTTCTAAATGAGCTCAGATAATAAACTGCATGTACGAATATTTTTCAGACTCTCAATAATCAGATAATGCAATGATTGTCCATAGGCCTCCATGTGTGGTAGGGGGAGTGTGGGGGCTGAGCGGTATGTGGTAGATTTGATAAGGATGCAGATTGTCAGTGCATTCTGGAGCATTTCCTCACATTGAGAAAAAAGGAAGGAAACCGGGTGGATGTGTTCGGAGCAGAAAATGACCAATGGAAACAATGACTGTGGTCTTGTGGTAAGTCTAATTGGAGGGAGGCTTTCATTCATAATTAAACAGCTTTTTACACACAGCACTAAAGGCTCTCGACTTGTACTGACTCTGCTTGTAAACTACATGGTTTTTTAACTGTTTATTGCAATTAGATTTTATTTAAATGTTTTCCTATGGAGGGCACAATACTGAAAAAATGTATTACCAAACTAACCCAAGGAGTCACAACATTCTTTTATTTAGATTTGAAAATATCCATAAAATGAAATTATGTCTAAACCATAGACTGTTTATATAAATGGACATAGCGAAGGCGATAGTTGCCGCGTTCAAAATAGGTAGTTTGCATGCGGGCGCTTTCTGACGGAGCAGAGTGAATTGTTCCACAAATAGAAAGGCCGGAAAAGAGCACAGTTCTCCTGGTGAGTAAAATTAGGTTTCCTAAAAGAGATGCTCTGCTGTAGAAAGTGGAGCAGCAAATGGATTTAAAAAAATGGCGTTCAGAGAAGATATAACCAAGTATAAAATGTAGAAATGTCAAGCGTTCATCAATATCTAATCCAACAGCCTGCTACCATTAATCCAAGAATGAAAGCAAAATAATGACAAATGAAGTTAATAGGCAAATTTTAACCACCATCATTTCTTATTGCCAGTTATAAGCTCATTTGTTTGTTTCTTCTAAATTTAGAGTCATGCTTATTTCTTTAAAACACAAATTAAAATAAAAAGGAAAATAGTGATAGATGAGTTATATTACATTATTATTAACTGTCATATTGCCCAGCACAATATATGACAGAATTTTAAATCACAACATAAAATCATCAATCAACATAAAAAAATAAATATTGTGGCAACGTCTGAAGTCTGCTCAAAACCACATGTTGTATTATTAATTAGAATTGGTATTATTAATTAGAATTTCAAAGATTAAGAAGCACAATTGACAATTTTAAACAATTACATCTTAATTTTATTCAAATTTGCCACCTTCTCGTTGGTCAAGTCACTCTAAGTGCTTTGTTGAGTGTCCTGGTGCAGTCTGTGTGTGATTTCTGCCCCACTGTTACCTGTTGGGTTGGTTCTCCTGGACAAAGGGGTAACAGGTGATGAGGTAGCTCGGGATGGGCGCGGTCTCCACCCCGCTGCCCCCACTGCCCCCCGCCTCTCCGGACAGACTCATGCCCACCAGCGGCCCCTCGAGTCCCTTCTTCTGTGGGATAAACGGTTCCACTTCTGCAGAAAGCTTCACATCCTGCAACACAAATGAAGAATGATGTGTGAGAGGTTCACTGGGTACTGTTAATACTGAATGAGTGATATTTATCCATAAACTGTATAAAGAAGAGCACTAAGGAAAAGCGACGTTCCATAGAGTTCAGCTCAGTCTAACGAATCGCATGCAGGCTAGCTGTTATAGGGGTGAATTTGGACCAGAGTTTCATGTTAGGAATTTATTTAGGACACAATAGTGAAATAAAAACACCAGGATCATGAAGAGAGACCAAATGATGAGCCTCATGGTAACAGTTACAGAGGAAGGGGTCCCAGTTTTTCATTATGAAGTCAATTGGAGCCAGAGTCGATGGAGCCAGAACCGCCCCCATGCACACTTCCTATTTGTTGACTTTTTTCCTCTTAGCACACCAAACTGGTTCACAGAAGGACCATGTGTGTCCCTGATTGGCTAACCCACCCGTCAATCACACCCCTCTGAACTCTGGGATTCATCTGATGCTGCCCTGATGTTAATTCCTTGCCTTAAATGTCCCACAGTATGGCATTAAACTTATCAATGTTTATGAAGGTAAGGAGTTGATGGCACTGAGCTAAGTTACAAGTCAGATCTGTGGAGAGGCAAGCCTGCTCACATTAAGACAAGGTTATTCAAGGTATTTTTGAGCAATAAAAATAGTAATTCCAATTGAGTCAATCCAACACGAAACCTAAATGGTAATTCCAGGCAAAGCAATAACATCTCCATGGAAACAAGTAAGTAGCGGGCTCTCCACAAGAAAGTTTCGCAGTGCACCTTTAATGATCACTAAATGACGTCAGTAGTCTTCATGACGTTTATCAAAATCCCAGCCATATTTGTTTAATCTATCAGCAGCCAATAAAAGTTTACTCAAGGAAATAAAGGCAGGTTGGCGACTAAAGGTGAACTTGTCCTTATAGACCTGATAAACGCCACAGCTGAGTGACGCAGGACGCTGTGGTGAGGGACGGGTCATGGGACCAAAGAGGATGGAGCAAAGAAATCACTATAAAAGAGAAGAGGGTCATTTCAGATTGACACTTCATATTTGAGACAGCTCAGAGGGCAGAGAGAATAAAGTGTCAGTCAAAACCCGCTCCAATACTCATAGTCATAGAGTTTTCTATCTCCAAAAATCTGCATTACAATCGCAACTGAACTTGGGATTTCAGTGCTTGTAGTGTTTGTAAGAAACGCAAAGCTCAGGATGCTCAGTTCCACCTTATGATGTCATGTAGAGAGAGTTTTCAAGTGAATAGCTACAGTACCTTTTACCTTTTGTTCAATACACATGGAAATTCCAGGGCTGAAATTATCTAAATGATTATAGTGAAGGTGTATGGTGTTTAAAGTGCACAGTGGAGCACTCCCTGTATTACCATATGACATCACAAGGTGGAACGGAGAGAGAAGTCAGCCTAAAGGTTTTGTGTCATGGTTTGTGTTAAACATTCGTAAACAAACCCAGTTCCAGGTATTTTTGTAATGAGGAAACAAAATGATAACATAGATCAGAAAATAGCATAGTATGAGCCCTTTAAGAATGAAAGAATATAGTAATATAGATGAAAACACAGTTGAGGGTGACGATAGGAACAGGTGACCTTAGCTGTGAGTCATGCATTTGGCTTATTCACAATGTTAATCTCTAAGTAAATACTGGCACAGTTGAATGGTTGTACATTTTATTTATAAAAATGTATGGACCGATGCCAAAAGTGCTCAGCAGAACAAGTGTAAACCAATGACATTGCAGAAAACTTTCAAGATGTGTCATTATGAGCAGCTAAGAGTTCCTACCACAGTTTAAAGTGCATGACAGGTTCTCACGGGGTTTTCTTGTACTTATTATTAGGTTTGGTTTGGTCATGTAGTACTTGTGGTAAGCAGTGTGTGGGGGGAAAAAAAAGATAAGAAAACATAGAAAGTATAAAGAAGTGAACTAAGAGTGTGACGTCACCCATAGCTTCAGTCAAATGAAGCTCACGAGGTTAGCAGTCACAGGAGAGAATTTGAAGCAAGGTTCATATTAAGAGCAAACTAAAAACACCAGGGTCATGTAAACATAGATGGGGCTCACTGCAGCAGTTAGAGAGAGAGGGATGACAATTTTTCAATGTAAATTCAACTGGAGCCAGAGTCGATGAAGCCAGAAATGCCTCCATTCTCATTTCCTACAGTCTATGTAAGAAAAGTACAAAACAACAAAAAGTAGCAGTGAATTCTAAAACAAAATACCTCTACCTATGGCATAAATGCAGAATATTCCAACCAAAATGCAGGGACAAATTATGCACAAGAAAGTAATTTTTCTGGCAGTTTAAACCTTAACAAAATAAAGCTGGTGTCATTTTGTTTTTATGAGTTTAATCATAACTATTGTGCAATTTAGACACATTTTGGCCCTTGTTGCAACAGGAAACAGTTAGGGAATTACATCTAAGTATGTCATATATGCTGTAAAATTTGAACATTTCAACAAAATTAAAAAACTAGGGGAAAAAAAAACAGGGGAAAATCTTAAAATATAATGATGTAACTATGTTTTAGGGAAACACGTAGTCTAAACCTAATAAAGCTATTCTTTTCTATTTTACAGCTTTACTTAATATCCAATAGAAAATCTTTCCCAGGCGTATTTTGGTTGGGTCTATTTATAGGCCCCATATTTTTTATCAGAGACTGGATGTGGAAGTTCCTGCTGGATTTTATTAAGTTATGACGACAGAATCCACAGTAAAACGCCACAATTACACAACGCAACATGTGACCATTATGTCCATTAGCAACTAAAACTAAGATTACACTGTTCATGGAGAAATAGAAATTGTGTTAGTCCCACTGACCATTGCAAACTCACTTATATCTGCTTGACTATTTTTCCACGAGGGCTCACATCTCAGAGCTTTACTTTTTTTTTTCAGTCTATCTATGACCTGATCATATGTGACCCACTGCACTCAAAAGACTCCAAAAAAAGACTGAATGTATTTATTTGATTCTGAAAATGATGAATTCTTTCAGCAAGCGCACTCCCTACCCTCACCTTGTTGTCCCTTACAAATCCTTATCATCTAAATAAAGTAATTAGTCGACTAAAACACCACTGTAGAGTTTATCTTCTAAATGTCTAAAGGCCAAATATTTTCCACATTACCTAAGAGTATAAAACTGGGTTAGGTAAGATATCAATATAGGTGAGTGAACTGAGCAGTGAATGATTGAGCTCAGGTAAAAGGCTGAGGCCGTCAAACAGCTGAAGTCTGACTTTTGTGAGACTCCACTGATCTGAATTTATGACCCGTAGAGCAGCAGTGCACTCAAAACAATGTACTACAAAGCACAGGTCAAACACAGGACACAGGACGTAAGGAAGAGACGGAAAGGGGGGAGGGAGGGACAGAGAGAGAGAGAGAGACAGACAGACAGATAAAGAGAGCGGGAGAGAGAGACAAAGAGGCACAAAGAGGCACAAAGAGGCACAGAGAGACACAGAGAGACACAGAGAGTCAGACAGTGAGAGAGACACAGAGGGACACACAGAGGGGGAGAGAGAGAGACAAAGAAAGAGAGAGAGAGAAGGGGGAGAGAGAGACAGTGGGGGAGACAGAGAGAAACAGAGAGAGACAGAGAGAGAGAGAAACAGAGGGGGAGAGAGAGAGAGAGAGACAGAGGGGAAGACAGAGAGAGAGATAGAGGATGAGACAGAGAGAGAGAGAACCAGAGAGAGAGAGAGAGAGAGAGAGGAGACAGAGAGAAAGAGGGGGAGACAGAGAGAGAGAGACACAGAGAGAGAGAGAGAGAGAGAGAGAGAGAGAGAGAGACAGAAAGACAGTGAGAGGGAGAGACAGAGAGAGAGCGAGAAGGAAGAGAGAGAGAGACAGAGAGAGAGAAACAGAGGGTGAGAGAGAGAGGGAGAGACAGAGAGAGAGACAGAAAGACAGTGAGAGGGAGAGACAGAGAGAGAGAGCGAGAAGGAAGAGAGAGAGAGACAGAGGGGGAGACAGAGAGAGAGACAGAGGGGGAGACAGAGAGAGAGACAGAGGGGGAGAGAGAAGGAAGAGAGACAGAGGGGGAGAAAGAGGGGTAGAGAGACAGAGGGGGAGAGACAGAGACAGAGAGAGAGACGTAGAGAGAGAGAAACAGGGGGAGAGAGAGACAGAGAAAAACAAAGAGGGAGCAAGAGAGAAAGAGAGAGAGACAGAGAGAGACAAAGAGAGAGAGAGACAAGGCGAGAGAGAGACAAAGAGAGAGCGAGACAGAAAGCCAGAGAAAAAGGGAGGCAAAGAGGGGGAGACAGAGACAGAACAGCCAGAAAGAGAGACAGAGACAGGACAGAGAGAGAGAGAGAGACAAAGACAGAAAGAGAAAGAAAGAGGTGGAGGGAGAGAGAGAGTGAGTTAGACATTGAGGACTAATGGAGCCGTCCAGATGCATCAGACAGCAGTTTAAGCTGTTTAAATGTTTACAGTCATAAAATTTACATGGAAGAGTAGTTGCAAACAAACAGATTAGTCAACGGCATACTCCACTTAAAGAAGCACTATGTAACCTCTCTGAAGGAGGGTTCATGACTTCCAGGACAGGTCATTTCTTTCCCTAGAATGTTCCACTCTATGTCATTAAAGTTATATTTCCTCACAGCAAGAATGCACATTTTAACAATATAATGAACAATAAAAAGCAATAAAGAATACTTGTAATTGTATAATGCAAGACAGACGTACTTAATAGCATACTGTGAAACATTGCAAAGCACAGCGCCATGGAGACAAGCGCAATCATCAAACTAAAATGTACATAATGCATCTTTAAAATCTAAAAATTTTATTCAGGAGTTGCCAGTATAATTAGGTGCATCCTTTAGTGGAAAACTTCCATATTATACCTGAAATGCAAGTGTGAAATATCATTAAAAACTAATTTCTGTAATCATCTATTTCATGAGGAACAACATTTTAACATGCATCAAATCTAAAGTCAGTGGATCATAACAA